AAATAAGTGCTTAAAGGTGATCTGTTTCCGAATTTAGTTTGTTTAATCGAATCAGCCTGAAAATGTTAGCCGATTGGACACAGACATCTGGTAATTTATGCAAAGGTAGCAGGAAAAAGGAAAAATCATTTGTTAATGTTTCATAAAGGGATGATCTGTGCACCTCGTCCCAGCTGGTCAGCATCTTTAAGCACTGTTGTACTAAAAAAAGTGATTAAATAATGTGTTACTTTTTACAACACCCTTTACAAAATGTACCCAGTGCACTGGTTCTTTGAAAATGAGTTGCAGTTTTTATGTTGTTTGTTTTAAAAGGTGCACTCCGATCTGACTTGCTCCCAAGTTAAATTAGTCATTGTCATATGGTGGTTTTTTTTGCATTTGGTGTTGTCTCTGTTGTGCAAAATTCAAGTTTGTTGTTTGATTTAAATTCCTTCACAATCATTTTTTTTATCTGATAGTTTTTATGTGACTTACCTCTTTGAATACCTTCATTTAATTTCTTATGATTTTCACAGAAATAATTCAAGTAAAACTGGAATGTTTTTAAAGCTTAAACTCTTGGCATCATGTTGAGCAAAACATGAAGTTGTTTGAGGTTTACAAAAATAAGTAAAAATTATATTTCATTTTATTTGATATATTAATATAAGGCAGATCTGAATGGCCAGGATGACTTTAAAACAATGACATAGCTCAAAAGTTCCTAACGGTAGTATAGAAATCAATGATTCCTATTTACTTTATAACCTCATATCATTTGTATTTATTGTATGTTTTGATATATTTGTTTATAATTTGTGTTATTCTCTTTTCATTATTAAACATTTACTAAGAAACTCGATGTCCTGTATCTTTACCTATACTATAACATTGATAGACCAAAACATTATTTCTTTAGCCACATATGCATATTAAATATGTTACAACCTGAATTTGTACGCAAAAATGTATCAGATACAAGTAAAAAGAATCATCTCACAAATAATTTGGGTTTAAAGTTTTTACCTCATTTCAACTTTGTAATTTTGGACATAGTATTTTCTGGCACAGTTTAGACAAAAACACATTAATGTTAAACATCTATATGAATATGTTTATAGCACAGTGCCTTTCGAAAGTTATACCTCTATAACTGTCAGAAAGGTCAACAGCATTTCTTTTAGCAACATAATGAGACAAAGTGCATAACTGAGAGGACAAAATATTTTACATATCTGTTAAATTTTTTATGATTAAAATACAATATAAATACAACAAATTCATGAAAGTGAATAAGTATAATTAATAAAGATTGATGTCTTATTTTACAATTTTAAATACTGCTTATCTTTTTTTTTTTTGCTGTATTTTTATTTCACTTAATGGTTTGGGCATGCTTTTCTTCAGTACAGAAGATGGTTTAAAATTAATGGGAAGATGAATAGAACCAAATACGGGACCATTCTCGAAGAAAACCTGTTTGAGTTTTCAAAACACTGGAGACTTGGACGGAGATTTATCTTCCAACAAGACAAAGATCCAAGACATAAAGCAAAATCTACAATGAAATGTTTTCATAGATAAACATACCCAGGCCTTAGAATGGCCAAGTCCAGACCTGAATACAATCAAGAATCTGAGTGTTGTGACCATTTATGCTAAATTTGTTACTTCTACCAATTTAGTTTTTGTCTTTTGGTATATAAAATATATTTAAGTTAATTTATAACCAAAATTTGTTAATTATTTTTTATATTTGAAAGTGTTTGGAGTAAGTTGTTAATTGTTAGACCCTCCCATTAATTTGAGTAATCAAGAGCACACCAGGTGTTGGGGGATGGTGTGGTAAATGTCTGGTGTGGACGGGAGATTTTAAAAAATTATTTTTTTGACCACTTTTTTGGGAGCTTAAATTAAATTTCGTTCCTACGTACTACGTTCCAAGACATTTTTAGTATTAATTTTTTTCTTTTCTTTCACAATAAGTCAAGCTGGAAGTGCGTGCAAAAACAAAATCACCTGTTACCACCCACGGCCTTTGTTGGAAATTATTATATATATTTTTTTTTGGAACAGAAGGCTGCAACACTGTGGAAAGAACATACAACTGCCTTTCATAAATGCTTTTCATCCAACATCACTGAGCTCCAGCTGTTTTGCAAGGAAGAATGGGCAAAAATTTCTGTTTCTCGATGTGCAAAACTTATAGAAACATACCCTAAGTGACTTGCAGTGTAATCGCAGCAAAAGGTGACACTACAAAAGTATTAACTAAAGGGTGTTGAATAATTTTGCACACCCAGTTTTTTATATTTGTTACAAAATGTTTGCGTCCTGAAATGTGGCAAACACATGAAAAGTTGAATACTATATCTAATTAGGTGATTGCTGAAGGAGTTGTTTGCCAAGGATTTATTTAGGTTAATCAGATTGACACATTACCATGTTTTACTTTACTTCTATTTTGATATTAGTTACTTTGGCATCACCTATGAAAAAAAATACTTTAATAGTCGAAAAAAATACAAGGGTGGATTGGGGATTCATATCTCTACATGGCAGTGGAAAATCGTGAGCAAGCAAGCAGTTGAACGTTATGTAGTCAAAGGTCTACAGTCTTCAATTAAAACACAATAACCCCAATTAATGTCATTAATTATCATTAATAATTAATGATAAAGACAACTTATTATTAAGTGATTTAATTATCTTTTTTACTTGCAATTGATAAACTTTGCTTTATTTTAAAAGCTGTTTCTTTAAGCATTTTTTTACCAGCTAAAGATGATTTAATGTATACTTAGGTAAAACAGAGAGAGTAAATATATTTCCTTTTTACGGGTAACTGCTCACCTTAAGTTACATTCAAAATGGTTTATGTGTATTGACAATTTAAGTAAGAATTTGAAATGTTTTTTTTTTTTTTTTTATACAACTTTAAGTTTTACCTAATTTAATAATTTATTGTTGTTAATTAAACTAAACAAAAAGGTCTGCTGTCATCCAGTGGCGGTTATCATAATTTGCATTACTCATTCCCAAAAAAAGCTAAAACTCTAATTCTGACTTTTTAAGTAATTTTCACAGCAGGAATATTCTACTTTTGTATTCAATGTGGTTTAAAATAGAAATCATGAGTCATAAACTGTTAGGGTGTCAGCGATGACCTGGGCCCTGGGGTCACAATGGATGCTGCAGAGACCATCTGTCATCCTTGCTGCACACAAAGAATCAACTCAGTTAAGGTAAACAGGACAGAGGCAGCAACCTTAGGGCAGATTGTGACTACAGGAAAAAGGTCAATAGAAGTGCAAAACATATTAGCATTTCAAATGTTTTATTGCTGATGTCCAGATTATTTATGTTAGGTTCAGGGTCAATCATTTCCACCAGTCACCTGTTAAAACGGACAATGTTACAATTTGCAAATATGGCACACCATTATGTGGCATTTTATTTTTAAAAAATTTAAATATTACTTTAAATGTGGTGATTCTTATTCATGATCTTTTTTAATAAATAAATGTGCAATGATGTAGTAAAATAAAAAGCCGCCGTGTAATATAGCGTATCGACAATAATGTAGATATCGTTGAAAAGATTAAACTTTACAGGATTCAGATTCATTGTGAACTGAGGCCAAGTTCATGTAGAAAGGGGAAAACAAGATCTTGACATATTTTTATCAGTTTTGCAAAAGAAAATTTAGTTTTATCTATTTTTATTTTAGCACAGCTAAAGGCAGCTTTTCTGCAGAGACAGAGGAAGAGGTCCAACAGGTTAAACATACAGCCAGAGCCAGAATGGAAGGATTTACTCCACGCATTTTCCAGGCCTACACCATGTTAGCCAATCATATCAGAGGAATATTATTAGTATTAGTAAATATGGAAATGGTAATATCCGTTGCAATAAATTTATTTCCTGCCACTTTCTTCCTTCTGCTCTTCCATTAACTCTGAAGCCTTTAGCATATTTGGCACTGTAATTTCTGTCAGATGACAGCTTCCACAGCAGTAAGGCATCATCGCACAAGCTAAATATGGCTGCAAGAGAGTGTGTGGCATTTATACTAGAAAATTATTTGTGATATTAACATTTTGCACAATGATATTCTTATAATGACTTATTGTAACTGTCACATGCTATGAAGCTACCGCCAATTTTGTTTTAAATGCATATTTATGTTAAATCTTGAAAATGCTGAAAATAAAATATATTTTCATCCATTTCCCAACTAGAAACTGCTCTTTGTTGGTCTAACACATAAATGTCCAATTAAACAGAATTTTTTTTTTTTTTTGTTTGTTTTTTTTTTGCATTCAGTCTACAAATGTCCATGGGTTTTAAGCATGTGTTTAAATTCAGCAAATTGCTTTGCTCACACCATTAAAATAGCATTGTTTCCTTTTTTAATATGTCAATGTCATCCCCTGTACATTTGACTAAGTTACTTCCTGTTCAGGCTTCACACCAGGCCTAATTACCTAATTAGCAAACCTGAACAACATATTTCATTAAAGTCCTCTGTATAAACACCTATAGCATTTATGTTTAATTTGCTGAAGCCTGTATTCTGCAAAAATGTAGAAGACTTTGTAAAAACCGTAGAAATGTGATTAGTCATTGTGAAGCTTCCAAGGAGTAGATGTAGTTGTTCCTTTTTTTCAATTTCAACATTAAAGCTCCAGTCAATGATTTTATGAGTTGATTGAAAGTTAAATGCTATCATGTTGTGATCTAACATAGAAGCTGCAAAAAACAGTAGGCTAAAACATTAACCAGCTAGAAAGATACATGTTTCCATTTGTCATTTTAACTTTTAGCTTCTACAGACATGCCAGATTCCTGATAATTTGTGACGAGCCCCTTCAAGAGACAGAAGTAGAGCTGTGACTGATGCTGATTCTCCTTAGGTCTACAGTGGAGGCAGCAGGAACAGGAGGGGAAGGTATCACATGGGAAACAGTCAGGCTGCTGTCACATGGCTTCTGTTTGCAACTTCAGTTGAAGTGGAGGAGGGGTTTACACAGAAGTTTGTGTAAGAGGAAGAACTGCAGCATTTTTCATGAGGCCTTTCAACAAGTTCAAACCGTGAAGCAGAAAGCAGGGAGGTGCTGCATTTGCCTAGAAAATTAACAAAAGCTATGGAAATCCCAGCAATAAACTTAAAGGTGAGTTTGCACATAATTGTCAATCATTTATTTCATTCACAGCTTGATTTTTGGGTATGTTTAATCCAACGACTGAAGTTAAATTTTTAATGTTTGATCGTTCTCACTGGTAGTTCTCTGTGTGGCAATTACTATCCTCCGATTTAGACACTGGTCACCGGCTGTAAAGTGTTTTGTTTGGCAAGGAAAGAATCATTAGGGAAAAATGAGACACTAACAACACCTCTTATATTTTCACTGGCAGATATTTTGATCCTTGCGTGAAGCAGTGGCCAAGGTAGAAAGAAACGTGAATATGATGATATTAAAGCTCTCAAGAAGAGGAATTTAATTTCATTATTTATTTTTTTCTTAATCTCTCAAAAATAATCAAACTTGACAAAAAAAAAGAAAAAATACACAGACTGACCCAGATACACTTGATCCACATTTCCCATTTAGTCCTGGAATTTCTGGCTTGTTGTTTTACTTTCCATAGCTGAATATGTATTTAGTTTTGCTTTTAAACTTTATAAGTGTGTTTTGTTGCTTATTAAATTTGTTAAAATATTTTTATTATCTTAATTTGCATTACCCTAACCCTAATGCCCCTGCTTTTTTAAATTTTGTTTTCTTTTTTTTTATTAAAATTTAACTTCAAATAGTCTTTCCACTGAAAATTGTTTAAATGCCAAAAATTACTTATTAATTTTGTGATGATCTTCTATGCTGTAGGCAATAGTGCTGGCACACTGGCTGCTCACTATGTGGTGAGTGTGAACTTTTTTTTTCATCATACACCTGAGGAATTTCTCTCGTCTGAACACACAGACACAACTGCTCTCTTGTCTTATGCTTGATCTTACTCCTACCCTACTTTCTTGTGTGCAAATAACTTATAAAGATCATCCTTTATAAAATGTCTCTTCTTTCAGGGGAAGCATGGGTATTCTTCCACCATCCTATGCATGGGGAAACTTTAGTGTTTTAGCAGTTGGAGTGTGGGCAATTGCACAGAGGGACTCCATTGATGCTGTTCTCATGGTGAGTTTTTAGCTCTATTCTGTTGTTTTCTGAGAGTCGTCTTATTGTCATGTGACACAGATTTCTAACTACATACGCAGCTCTACACAGACACACAAACCTGTCTGTCTAAATATTCATGTAGCAAAAGAAGAACTTTCACTTTCAACTTTCACTCATGTTACTCGCTGACTAAAAGTAAAGTTTCTACCCTTTTGGGGCGGGTTGCAGAACTTTTTCAAGTAGTCATGAAAAGTAAGGAATGTGGACATGATTTAATGTTTCTTTTAGTCAATGGCAAATTGATTCTTGTCAGAGGAGAACTATAACAAATGTGGCATTTTAGTGAGTGAAATTTCTTCTGAAAAACAACTATTTATTTTATTTTTTTATTTCTTATTTTACCAAAATTATTCAGGCAAGGCATGTTTATTTCTATTGCCCAATTCAGTACAAGGAGAATTCAAACAGCTTTACATGAATTAGACAATAAAATAGAAGATGCATAAAAGCAGAGTAAAAGCAAATAAAGATAAATATATGATAAACGCAGATAGTATAACAATTGGACCACAAACTTAGACAGCTAATATCTCAGTTAACAGTTTAATACTCAGAAGCAGTTCTAAATAAATGGGTTTTTTACTGTGACTTAGAAGAACTCAGGCTTTCAGCACTTTTACATTCTTCTGGAAGATTGTTCCAGATAAGTGGAGCATAGGGACTGAATGCTGCTTCTCCGTGTTTTATTTTTTATTTTTACCAGGTGCAAAGAGTAGGTTTGAACTAGAAGACCTGAGTGGTCTGAGGGGTTGATACACTAACAATAATTCTGTTATGTATTGAGGTGCTGATCAATGAGCTATAGACTAACAGAGCTACAGGGAGCCAGTGTGAAGACTTCAAAAGTGGGCTGTTGAGCTCTACTTTTTTATTTCTAGTGAGAACACTGGCACCAGTGTTTTGGATCAGCTGTAGCAGTATGATTGACTTTCTAAGCAAACCTATTAAGACACTGTTGCAGTAATCAATTCTACAACAGATAAATGCATGAATAAGGGCAAAGATTGTTTTGTTTCTTCCCTATCTGAAACATTACAACCTCATCATGAAAAGTAATATCGAACATCTGTGCTTCAGAGATTTAAGTGAAATTTAAGGAGAAAAGGAATTACCATCTGGTGAATTCATCTGTAAGAGTTAGGATTTTTTTTTAAATCTTAAATGAAATTTGTGAAACTTTTTAAAAGCAGGGGGAACCATATGATGTACAATCTGTAAACTGAATGCATTGAAGTATAAAGCTGTTTGTTTAAAAAGGGATATCTTAATAACAATCACCGGTTCTAGGGCCTTATACTGAATCACAAATGAATATCCTGTGGGTGGAGATGCTACATACCGTAAATTACTATTCCTTTTTTTTTTTTTATTAGGTTTGCAGCGAGTTCATAGAAAATTCCCTAGGGAAATAATGTCCAAATAAAGGCACTTGTGCTTTAATTGTTATGTGATTGAATTATAGTTGATTATTGTATGAATAATCTACTGAAACTTATAATTAGTCTTTATTAATAATTTATTTTGTTCTCATTCTTCATAAAGTGACTTTCTAATAATGCATTAAAAAGAAAACAAAGACAAAGCAATCTTTAAACAAAGCTAAACAACTGTATTGTACTAGTTACATAGGGGTGACATGGGAATCCAGTACATGTTAAATATATTTTCTTAAGTGATTTGAATTAGATGTTTATCTAGTTTATTCCTCAGGATCATGATGAAATCAATCTTGTGGCCTAATTTATATTCTAATCTGTTAATCTGGGGGGGAAAAAAGGGCAGCAATGGGTAGGGTCTCAGAATGACCTAGATCCACCAGCTTCTAACACCAGACCTGCCACAAAAGAACGAAGTGAGCTTGTTTCTGTGGTTCCACAATTGACCTTGTCCCATTCATTCAACCAACTGGACTTCTGCTCATGTGGTCCAATCCTCCTGACTCTTGGCTTGGTTGATTTAAAAGGGGAAGGAAATACACCAGCAGGTGACCCTGAGAGTGACAAGCTTTAACTTGAATGTTACTATGATTTCCTCTCTTTGTATTCGAAAAGAAATGCTGGCTATGAATAGAAATTTTCTTAATTTTCAACTAATAGCGTCATGATGTGCCACCTTAAACTGGTGGAGGGGTTTCAGTGCCTGGATGACCCCAGAAGTTATGTTGTCAGGGACTTCCCTTGGGTAACAGGTCAGACAAAGAACAGTTCACAAAGAGCGGTGCAAAGAGAATAGGAAAACAGTAGGAGGCAAAGGCAACCCAATCCATGTGAGCTTAGACTGTCTCTGGGGACGTGGAATGTCACCTCGGAGGGGAGCGGACTTGAGCTTGTGCTGGAGGTAGACCGATACCGGCTAAAAGTAGTTGGGCTCTCATCTAAGCATAGCATGGGCTCTGGAACCTTAAAAGAGGCTGGGCACTCTTTTACTTTGGAGTGGGCTGATTGGGACTACTGGTCTCCCCCCAGCTAAACTATGTCAGAGTATACCCCAGTGGACAAGAGGGTCACATATCTTCGCCTTCGGCTAGGGTCCCTGACTATTGTTTCAGCCAATGGGTCAAACGGAAGTACGGAGTACCTGGCCTCCTTGGCATTACTAGGGGGATGTTGGATAGAGCCCCTCCCGGAAATTCCATCATTCCCCTCAGAGACTTCAATGCCCATGTGGGAAACAACAGTAAAACTTGGAGGTGCGTGATTGGGAGGAACGGACCCCCAGCTCTTAAACCGAGTGGGGTTTGATTAATATTTCATTATGGACAATCTGTGCAATTCACAGATTGTCCATAATGAACACCAAGATCAAGCATAAGGATGTCCATCGATACACCAGGACACCCTAGGCCGGAGGTCAATGATCGAATCTGTAGTTGTATCTTCTGACCTTCAGCAGCATGTGTAGGAAAATCAGTTGAAGAGAAGGCTGGAGCTACCACCAACAACCACTAGAGACATTAAGTCTGAGTGGGCCAATCACTCTGCCTCTTTTGTCGATGCAGAATCCCTGAACTCGCTGGTGGACACCAGCAATAGTGATACCGTCAAGCTGAAGAAGGAGTCCTATTGAGTATGGTTGGCTAGTTTGACTGTTGAGGCAGCAACCAGGTATTGTGAGGCCAAGCGTACGACTGCCCAGGCGGTTGCGAAGGCAAGATCATGGGCATGGGAGGAGTTTGGAGAGGCCATGAAAGAGACTCTGAAAGAGGACATTGTTGGATGGTGGAATGAATTTTCAGAATCTCTTCATAATGACAGATGAGCCATCCATGGTGGGAGAAGAGACAGAGTGCTCAGGGCTGGATTTGTTCATAACCCAAGCTGAAGTCACCAAGGTGGTCAAAAAAACTCCATGGTGGCAAGGCTTCTGGGGTGGATGGGATGGCCATGGAATAATGGATCAGCTCCACACCCTTTGCAGGGTGCTCAAGGGTTAATGGGAGTTTGCCCAACCAGTCCACATGTGCTTTGTGGCCTGGAGAAGGCCTTTGACCAAGTCCCTCGTGGCACTTGTGGCAGGAGTAAGGAGTTGGGGGGCCCTCTACTAGGCCATCCAGGCTCTGTTGAAGCAGAGCAGGAGCCTGGTCCGTATTTCTGGCATTAAGTCGGGCTTGTTCCCGGGGCTTGTTGGACTCTGACAGGGCTGACCTCTGTTATTGGACCTGTTAATAACTTTTATTGACAGTTTTTTTTTTTTTTTATGGACAGGATCTGATTCAGGGACCAGCGAACTTCGTCCCTTGCACCGCTATTTGTAATGAGGAGAGAAATGAGCAAAAAGGCAAAGCTCTTGATTTACCAGTCGGTCTTTTTTCCTACCCTCACCTATGGTCATGAAATCTAAGTCTTGACCAAAAGAACGAGAACCAGGATACAATCAGCTGAAATTGTCTTTCTCCGCAGGGAGGCTGGGAACTCCCTTAGAGATGGGGTGAGAAGTTTGGTCATTCAGAAAGGGGTCGGAGAAGATCCCCTTTTCCTCCACATCAAAAGAGGTCTGTTAAGGTGGCTCAGACATCTTTTTTGGATGCCCCCTGAACGCCTACCTTGGGAGGTGTTCGAAAGGAGGCCTAGGGGAAGACCCAGGAACCGCTGGAGGGACTATCACTCTCGGCTGGCCTGGAAGCGCCTCAGACCCCAGCAGAGCTGGAGGAGGTGTCTGCAGAGAGGGAAGTCTGGAAGTCTCTACTGAGAATGCTGCCCCCATGACCCTGTCCTGGATGAAGTGGTAGATGACGACTAAGAGTACTTTAACATTACAACCTCAGACCATAGAAGACGAATGAAGGACCCCCAAAAAAAGGGTCTTAAAATTTTCTAATACTCACTGTATTAGAAAAGCTCCGCCCCCATGGAGGTCTTGCACAGTGCAATAAACAATATCTCACTTTTAAAGAAAAAACATACTTTGCCATTAGAGTGAAATAAAGTGTAAAATCTCTACATCCCTTCTTCAGAATTAATAACACCTAAAATAGAAAGATAGTGTAGCTTTCAGTAATTTGAAAAGTATTTTAAGGAGTTCATTCATTAACATACTTTGTTCTTTTTATCCTGTTGCTATAGTTCCTCACGGGAATGGCTGTAACGATATTGACTGACATCATCCATTTTGGGATCTGGTATCCGCACACACCTTTTCAGGGAGTACAAAGTTTCACTGCAGGAATGGCTATCCTCAGCCTGCTGCTTAAACCTGTTTCCTGCTTCTTCGTCTATCAAATGTACCGTGAACGAGGAGGAGATTACAATGTCAACTTTGGTAAGTGACATCGTTTGCATAAAATATATTGACAAAAAAAAAAAAAAAACTTGCAGACTTTTGAGAATGAATACTGTAAAGGCATATGACATAGACAACATGTAATATATTTCTGGACATATTTTTATTTATTTATTTTGCATTGTTTGAAATGTACAACTTTAGCTCCAATCTTTCTGATCCCATTTAATGTTCTGTACTTTTTTGTTTTGTTTTTCAAGTGCTACGAACTGGGGAAACTTTGTTCTAAACAACTTGCAGATGATTCCACAGCTTGCTTATTAGTTACAGTCGCATGACCTTTTTCTTTGCAGTGAGATATCCATGCTGCAGTTAGACTGTTTCAAAAAACCCATTTATTTCTTTAAAGATCTATGTCATTTTGACCATAGTATTATGCTTCATGGGCATATATGTTAAAGCTGTTTTATGGTTTGATGTGAACTATCTCCATTATTAATGCGCTGACAAAAATAGCTAAGCCTCGATTCACAGAAAATATGATAATGACAACAAATAGGAATGTCTGTCATTGTTGGGTAAATTAGTTTCTCATTGCTGACAAGGAAGCAGATGAGTAACTTTGAGTAATGTCAATCTAATCTACTTCTTGAAGCCATTGATTTTTGGGCTTAACATCTCTCAAATGAGAGCATTTCCATTAAAAACTCTGTAAGCCATGATGCATGTTGGCTACTTAAAATCTTATATCTGTCGCATTTATTTAACAGTGAAAGTATTCAATCTTTCTTTACTAGAGAGATTTGAGCCTGGCTTCATGGGGAGAATAGATGAATTGTAATAAAAGAAAAAAACAGGAAGTTGGGGTTGTGGTGCTAATTGTTCAGCAATGCGATTTAAAACGGCATTTGATGAAACTCATGTCTTTGCTCTCTGAAAGATAATTGAATATTGATGAACCCGGACTCTTTATGGTTTTACTTTGCACAGCAGGAACACCCATTAGACTTTGTTGTGACTGATGAAAGCAGCTAATGTTACCCTCTCAGACTGTGAATAGTTTAATTGCTGTCTGATTGCATTGTGAGCCCTATACCGCTGAGCGTGATGGAAACCAGACAATTGGGCGATAGGAAATGGGCTGTTGAATTGGCCTGCTGGCACTCTCTGAATTTTGATTGCATATCAAGTTCATCTTTTCAAGTTCTTACCAAATTCAAAAGCCAGAAATGTGACCAATTTGATCTCAGCTGAATGTCCAATCAATGATTTGCTGCCCTAACCAAACAGAAAGGAACAGAGTAGGCAAATGTAGTCATATTTTATGACAAAGTTATAAAGCACCTTTATCCGATGACTGCTAAAGTGTGCTTGAACAGGATAATGAATTTGAGCCATATTCACTTAGGGATCAGCTCACTTTTGATGTCAATGGTTTGTATAGTACTGCATTTGAGTTACTTTGAGGGGGACAGTAATTTACAATGTTATAAAAGCTGTGCATTTACTACTTTGCATAAAAAGTGTCACATCTTTAGCATTGTTCCATAAAAAGATATGATAAAAGATTTACGATAACTTGAGTGGTGTTACTTGAGGGGTGTTACTCAATACTCTATTTTTAAGACAATGTATTCAAGAAAAATCAGAAACAGAAATGAGAGAATCAGAGAGCTTAGTAGCTTGATTACCTTTTTACTTGTTAGTAAGTTATTCCTTGGTTCGTTTTCACAACTGGAGTCCTTGTGGTTCTGTTCTGTTTTCTTGCATGTTATTCAATATTTTGTTGCACTGTTTGGTTTCTTTTTTAATCATCATGTACAATTATTATATATTTTCTCCCTGCACACATTTTTACCACTGATCTCTTCTCTCTTAGACTTAGAGACCTCTGTGGACAGTCGATGTACTACAGACAGTGCAGACAGTGCCTTTTTTGGCCGTCGCTACTGATTCCTGGCCTCTTCCTTTTCTATCATCTCTCTTTCCAAATCATCCCATTCCATACCCTTTCACCCCAAGAAGTAAGATTGCTAATCAGCTGGCTGGACATAAGATACTCTTTCTTTCCCAACTATTGTTATTTACATTCTTCCCCAACAATTCTGTGCATTTGTATGTAATTTATGTAAATGTTCTCTTATTACCTGATCTCTCAGAGATATCTCTACCTGTTTCACAAAAGCTTCATTTTTTTAATCTAAACATCCATCTGAAGCGCATTCTAGAAAAAGGTAAACAATTGGTTTATAGTACTGACTTTTTTGGTGTTATATTTCTGATGTATTTCTGTGAGGACAGTCTGAGCAAATTTCATCATCAGCATTTCCTCATTACCATCCCATTCTTTCATCCCTGGTTGTTTGCATGCTGTATTTTTATGTTTATTGTGTATTCTTTGCAAGTGTGCATGTCCTGCGTCTTTTATCTGAGCTTTTAGTCTCCAGATACCTCATTTATCTCGGTGTATTCTGTTTTTCATGTTAAGCATTGCTCAATGATGCTTCCCTTTTTAAAATAGGGCAGATTTATAGTTAGCATAGGCATAGTTTATATGTTTTGTTATTCCAGCCTTATGGTTTTATATTATGCTTCTATACTATCCCTCAAAAAAAAAAAAAATTAACCTCTTGTTTGATTATAATTCAAATATTTAGGTTTGCTTACATGTGTTTTAGTCTTCCACAAAAATGTCATGGGTATCCTGGCCATTGTAAATAACAATACTGAATCTCAGGCCTTAGAGTGCTAAAGTGGTTACTTTCCTGAAAATAACCACATGTATTTTTTATTTTATTTTTTTAGTTTGAAAGTAGAACAAAAAACTAAATTGATCTGTCAATCTGTTCCTGATATTCCTAATATTCTTCCAAGTGCTATATTTCTTGTAAAAAAACAACAACAACAAAAAACTTTCTCTTAGTCTGCTTCCAATATAATCTGTTTATCAAGAGGCAACAGGCTGCAATCATCAAGCTATAAATAAAGTGTAATACATTGCAAGGCATGATTAAGCATTATGGTATTTTCATGATGACTGACAGTTGCTGTATCTCTCTGCAGGTTTTCCTTCTTTATCTCGAAACAGAGATGCTTATCAGTCCATTGACCAGCAGGATGAGTCTTCCAGTCCATCAAATCCTTTCAACCAGGCTCAAGACACCAAACTAGGGGTCCGCACTTACTGAACATTGCACATCAGTAAAGATGTTAGCTTTTTTCTTTTTTTTTTTTTTTTAAAGCAGTACTACAGCCATAAAGATCATTTTTAAAAGGTCATTGCTGGCCGTTTAGCAAGACCAAGGAAAATAGATCCTCTCAGCTTTCACTGAAAAGCAGTTTTTCTTTTTTTTTTTTTTTAAGTTGAGGCTTTGAAAGAAAAAAATGATTTGCGCTGCAGTTGCACAGACTGATTATATTCAGAAAACACACCATGGGTCACTGTAATGCTAAGATGCAGCTCTGATTCTTCTAGCAGAACAGTGCTTTAAGAAAAGCAAGTTGTTTTAAAAAATGTGGTGTTTGTAAACATTAAAACTGAGATGTTTCTCTCTGTTGCATTACTTTTTACATGTTCTCATTTCCATATGGTAGAACAGGTCCAAAAAATGTTTTTTTTTTTTTTTTTTATACCAAATTGTTTAGTCAGTTTTGTTACGAGAAACCTTTTGTTTAAAAATGTATGTTGTACCGACACAAAATATAGCATTCAACTTAAAATTTAACAGAAATGTTCTCAAAAGTAAAATTTCTGTTTTCTAATAACCAATCCAGCTGTGTCTTGGAGTCAGATAAGCTAAATTTGTTTTGTATGCTTAGTAACCAAGAAACAGCAGTATTGGCACAACTGCAAAAACAACCTAACATTGATTATTGGCAAGAAGGCTCGTTTTATAGACCTAAGCCTGGTAATTAGATTTTAATTATACATAGTCTTTTAACAGTGAAGGGTTTTGTTAACCAACTTCAACATGCTTTGAGATGTAGCTTTATTTAAGAGCATATATACTCCAGGCAGAACTATTTTGATTTATTCAGTGTTTTTTTTTGTTTTTTTTACCTCTGGAATATTATACACAAATTACTCAGCAGTAAAAAGAAACAATACATTGTTGCATTACTTTGGTTTTTACTTTTAGTTCTCTTCTTTGTCATAAGTTCTCCTTTTGAAAGCCTAACGATCTGTGCCGTGGAATTGATATTATGTAACTATGCTGGTCACGTTGTCTGTGTGTAAAAATGGTCAACCTCTACTAAACCAAGTTATACCTTCCTAACATGATTTATCAAATGAATGTGTACCAGCATCTAAGTAAAGAAATACTACATATCAATCCTTGTTTTTGTTTTTTTACCATACCATGTATTATACCTGATAGAATGCAAAGAAAAAGTGTTTGACCCGAAACAGGTTTTCTTTTGTTTCTTTTCTCTAAGCCCTAAATGAAAATAAATAAGAGTATATATGGAAACAAGAAAAAAAAAACACAAAACACTTATAAGACAAAATTAATTGGATCAGGAACACTGGCCATAGCTGAAACAACTTAGAGGGGTTCAGATTATCTTGTTTTTTTCGCTATGACCTTGTGGATCAGATGTCAACTTTTAGAGAAGCCTAAATTATTTAGAAAGTGTTTTTGTTAACTTTATCAAGTCTTTTGAAAAAGTGTACAACTACAGTTGGAAGCGTTGAAGTGTAAGAATACTGCAAGATGCTCGTAGTTTTACTGGATTGTATGAAGCTGTTTTGTCTGCAGTTGGCACAGAACTATGAATAAGATTTACCTGCCGAATTCTTTTTTAAGTTGTTTAATAAAAATTGTTAAATTATTGGACCGTGATCAGCATTTTTCCTATAGCTGCTTAGACCTTGCATATTCTACTTAAAATGTATCCAACTTTGTTGATATTTTTTTCTTGTAAATTCTCATAAGCTAAAGTACTATTGTTTATATTTTCTCTAATGAAGCCTCATGTATCTTTGCATTTAAATATTTTTACATTTCATGGTTTCTTCTCACCCTGCTGTTCCCACAAATCCTTGTGTTGTATGCCTTTGATTTATACTGCCAGACAACACATTAATCTGTGTGTTTTTGTTTTGAAAAAAAAAAAGAAAAAACAGCTTTTCACACCCTGTTTCTCCTACAAGAACTATCACACCTTCCCTCTGTAGCAATTTTCCTTTCCAAACCATTCTGAAGCTTAGCTCACGACTGGCATGGAAACAATGGAAATACTGAAAGGGATATGAGAAGCATGGCTTTTATTTCTCACAAAGGGTGAATGTGCTAATTTGACAAACGATGTAATTTCACATTTATCACACCTCAGAAGAAAGTGAAAATTCCTCAATGATTATAAGATTTATTACACACTGACTGTAATATCACAAAAGATTTTGGAAGAGAAAAATTCTCCTTATCTGTTAGGAAATTGCACTGTTTTCTGGGCCTTCCTGGAAAATAAAAATGGAGGATGATGTAGGCACTAGTCCTCAACTAATCTAAAATAAACTGTGATTTAGAATTATTATATACAACTATTTTTTGTATGAAACCTATGGACGTGTCTCCTAGAAATAAATTGCTATTAACAGTTTCTCTTCAATTTTTCTTCAGATTTGTCAAATGTCTTTTTAATTGGAAATGAAAGAATCAACCAATCTAAGTTACAGTAATTTACAAGATTTGTTTTACTATTAACATTAATTAAATACATGCACATTTTTTGGTAGTCATATGATGTACATTGTCTAAAACTATCAGCAGGATATGAGCCGCAAACTTTGAAGGTTGCAGAAATAACGATAACTAAGAAGACAAAACTGCAACCAAGACTTTTAGCAAATAATAGACTTTTTTAATGCAAATAGTTCTAAAATTCAGGAAAAAAATTTGCTTCAACTGTTCCACTGATCACCTGCAAAAAATTTGCTTGTTTAAAGAAATTCAGTTAGGATATAAGTCTCAACAAATTACAAAAGGCTTGTAGTAATGTATTGATAGCTACTGGTAGTAAACCTGTTTACTTGTGTTGTTAGCCCTAAGTGCTGATTCTGATACAACCAAATATAGACTTTAAAGTTTTTATGGTATTATTAAAAAGTGCCTCGGCCTTATGGTTGAATTGAATTTGTTTAAATGAATGTAGATGTATCCCACAAACCACAGTGAGTTAGTTGTCCCAATACTTTTTAACTTTCATATGCTTACACATTGGGTCCTCAACATATATATTTTTATTTTTGTGCCATCTAGGTACAATTAAATGTCTCCATTCAATAAATGCCTGGATGTTCCATTCAAAATCCCATTCAAACAAAGGTTGCTGTTAGAACTGAGCATTTATGTACAAACATGTTATGTTAATAACTAGAAACCATTTTTGATCAAGATTTGTTTTTTAGCTTGGATGTAAAACGAGTTATTTGAGCTACCTTCTATTGGCTTTAAATCAAAAGCATGATTTCTCAAGATCTTTTAAAAAAACTTGTTAATACATTTGTTTCATATAGGCTTGAGTATTGTAACTCCTTTTTTACTAAGTTGCTACAAAGTTAGTCCTCATCTCAAAGATATTGTTAAACCTTTTTGTCATAAATGAACTCTTCCTTGTGTTCTTAAACCAGAAAAGGGGACAGAACCTCCACCTATCAGATACCTCTTATGTGAAATAAGCTGCCAGCTTGGATTTAAAAAGCTGAGGCCCTTTCAACATTCCAGCTGAAGCTGAACACTTTTTTTTAGACAGAAATATTGATAGATTTTCTTTATTTGCTTTAGGCACACTGTAATATTTTTTTGTTGTTTCTTACACGTGGTCTTCAAGACACATTTTGTAAGTTTTTAGATAAAAACATATTTGAAATAGTCCTTTTATTTGTCCCTTTCTGACCTAAACATTGTTTGATGAGCAGACTGCCACCTCAGTAGCACATCACCGATGTATCTATAAGCCCGTAACCTATTTTTCTTGACTTACTTTGGGTTGGAAGTTTCCATGCTGTTGGGTCAAAGTGAGATCAAGCACATCCATGTTAAATGGGTCTGACCTACCAAACAATCAAAACATTATATTCAGAAGTGACTGGCATTCAGCTCAACCAATATCAGGTTAACAATGCCTAAGTGCCTAAAAAAACTATAATTTTTTGTATCTTTTGAAGCACAATAAAGAGTATTGTTTTAGTATCTGTCTTTTCTATTGTGTAATTAGTAGTGAAGCAATATTAATGTCTCATTTATGAAAAGATTGATGCTGTGAAATTGAGCAGAAAAAAAAGACAGGGTTAAAGGTGGACAGGGGCACTAAGGCAATGGGGGGGGAAAAGGCAGCAGCTCAACAAGCTGTTGATTAATAAGGAGCTGCTGGGCTGCCTCCCCTGGGTCTTCCATGCATATGTGCACAGCTTTGAAACATCCTCAGGCTCAGACCTGCGATTTTCTCCAAGTCAAGGACACATTTACTCAATAAAGTAAAAGGAACTCAATTTGTCAGCTTCGTTATTGTATGGGAGGTGATAATTTCCAGAGAGGGTTGAGAGAGACGACTGCATTGGACTCGGGTCTCCAGTTTCAACAAAATGAAGACAGATATATTGGTGAATGTATCTCTAAATCTGAGTCCCAAAAAAATAAAATAATTTTACTTGGCAGAAAACCACAACATATGCACTGTGAGTATTTTGTGACCTTCTTCAACTTGCCATCATGTTGTTCTGCCTTATCCTCTTCAGAGTGATCCGAACATCAATCATGGAGCTAGTCTTAATTCACTTTTTATGTTCCCAATTGTCCCTTCAAAAGTCTTCTGTTTTTTTATTTTTGATTCTAAAAGAAAAACAAATGGGTAAAAAATGAAGCACGCCTGATGCTCATGAGATATTTCAAATTTCATCTATAAATTCATACATCACATAAATCCAAATATATGCTTTACTTAATTATTTTTCAAGAGTAGCAAGAAAGGATGATCACACTACGGTAGGAATAACTGAGTTACTATTTCTTTAGCTTAAATAATTTTAAATTCATTCCAGGGCAGCAAATACTGGGGAAAAATCGAATATTTTGACTTATGAAGTCATTCCCTCGCTGGGTTGTACAGTTTCCTAGGAGAAAGTCATGTTATTGGGATGAGGGGTTAATATATAAATATGAGTTTCATGCCTTGTTGTGATGGAAATGATATTATGTACCTCTGATGCTCAATAAAAAAAAAAGAAAAAAGAAAAAGTCAAGCTTGTAAATTCACAGAGATTAAAAAAGTGTTCACATTTGAAAATAATTTGGGGAATTACATTTTTATGCCTCAAGCATCTTGGTTTCCTGAAAAGGACACTAAACCCTTGGCCTTTTCTACACCAAAACCTCGCTCATCTGCTATCAGCGATAATGGAATCAAAATTGATTCCAACTGACCTTCCAGTCTTCAATTTCCAGGGGAGAGCGAGGTCAGTGATTCTCCCCCTATTTAGAGAGAAAAGATTGGTTTTATTGTCGGCAAACTAAAAGAAGCATAGAAGAAATAAGAAGCAGACGTATTTTCTGTCAAAGATGTTTTTGCGATGAAAAAGAGACAGGATGGTTTTTGAATGGGAAATCAGTTACTGTAAACATTTCAATCTTCTATTAGTCTTCAGTGAAAATCAATATGAAATTAGCATTCGTGTAAAAATAACTATTAAATTCATATGATATTGAGTAATACAGTTATGAGAAAACCACTTTAATACCTTGGCTCTACCTTGGCCAAACTGTGGCTCTACTTTTCTTATACCTCATCCCAAATACTATTTTCTGCATCTATTCCTTAGACTGCCGGAGGACATAGGGACCCCTTTTCATCATTCCATCTCTATTCTCCCTTTCTGTAGTATATGTTAGTTCAATCTCCAATTTATGCTCCCACTGCTTTTTCTCATCATACTGTAGTAGCTTAATTTAGTCTGTTCCTGTTTGGCTGTGACACCATCCTGGAGAGAGGTGTCAGCTGTGCAGCTGCCATCAATGACTTTGGTCTGTTTGTCTTGCTTTCTTTCATTTTTTTTGGTTGTTTTTTCCTTTTTACATCTTTGCAAGTGAATTCATATATATATATAAGAACATAATTGTGTACATATGTACATATTCACTGTTATTTAACCCCCCCCCCCCCCCCCCCCCCCCACACACACACACACACACAAATACGGTAATTACAGAAATACAGAAAAAAAAAACAGGGGAAAAAAACAACAACAATAAACAGTAATTAATCCCTACCCATTTAACCCACCTCCCTGTGTTTCCCTCCCATATTCTGAACTGCATGATTCCGTTCCAATCCTTCTCATACCACTCAATCACACGCACACACACACCACATCTACACCCACATCACATTTTTCAGGATCTGACAACTTCCATTTCCAACATTTTAAATGTTGCAGTTACGGTAAGGCGAAGCCCTGCATAATAGTTTTAGCTGAATTCTCTCCAATGTAATGTAACAGGGGGACGCGAATTTCGAAAAAGTCTTTTATATATTCCTCAGAGGACATAAGTAAGTCTTTCCAAAGGAAACATTTTCAGTACATTATTTAAGCACTTGGAATCTGTTAGTGTAGCTTAGCCAGTATTGTAAAATAGTTCATCTAGGACTATACGCTAATAATAATATTAGTGTATAATATTATGATGAATGTAACCCCAAAATACATTGCAGAGGACCAGGCTTTACATTTGTTTTTACAATTTTGCACTGAGCCTGTTTCTGCTAGAGGTTTCTTCCTGTTAAAAGGTAGTTTTCCTCTCCACTGTCGCTACAAGCATTTTTGGTGTGGGGGATTGCTTTAAGTCAATGGGTTGATGCAATCAGCTGGTTTTCCTTAGATATAAAACTTTGAACCAATAAGACTTTATGATCCGGTTGAATTGTTTCTGTTAAGTGCCTTGAGGAGGCATGTGTTGTGAATTTGTGCTATATAAATAAACTGAATTGAATATACGTGCCTATGAAGTACTTTGTTTAGTGCATCTGTTCAGGTGCTTTTAACACAATCAATAAATCAGCCACTAACAGGACAATACTTGAATGTATCTAAGCATCTAGATGTGTTAGAGATGGCATCCTTATATTCAAAAGAATATCTGAACAGCAAATAAAGGAGATTTAAGTTTCTTAAAGTCATCTGGTTGCTAATGCATGTCTAAGTAGCTCAAAAACTCCACATTAATTTAAGCCAGACTATTTATTGGGGTTTACAAAGTAAATATGGAAAGCCCCAGAATGACAGTAGTGCTGATGAAAATGAGTTGTTGTTGTCAGACGTGACTGGAGAATGAGTTTGAGATGAAAGGAAGGCAAAAGAAGTTCAAACAACCCCTTTTTTATAACAAAGGTTTGAGGAATATCATCTCAGAATGCAAAACATGTTCAACCTTGAAGGAGATTTGCAATGACCGACAGGGGCCCACACCGTTTGTCACTGCTTTCAGATAACAACAGAACAATGAGATTGAAATGCACTATGGCTCCCCAAAACTAGAAATTATTGTTTGTTTGGATGGGTTTCAATTTCACCTGGAGTATTTAGGTGGTAGGGTCAGAATTTGGTTTAAAAACCAAGTTCAAAGTTTATTGAACACACCATATTGGATCCCACTCTTTCCATGTCTCATTTTTACAGATTACTTTGCGGATGTAGTGGAACAAGAGATTGCTAACATGGACATGTGATGCTCTCATATCTGTATGAGCAAAAATCTCTTTGGTTTTAAACACCTTGTGAATTTTACTTCTAAAAGAATTAAGGCAGAATGTAAAGGAAAAAAGGTCCAAACCAATCTTAGGGAGGTCTATCTAATGAAGTGACCACTGATTGTATATGAATATACCTACAAGCAAAAGCTCTCTGAAGATTTACGGAACTTACTAATCTCACTTTAAAAATTTTTCCCACCAGAAAATAGGTGTTTACTAATTAAAGGCTCCTTGTTCTCCCTGAAGGAGATCGATTTTCCGCTGATAAAAATTAGGTTTATGTTCTGTAGATATAAAACTGGAAGATAGCTTTCAACTTAATAATTTATATAAATAAATTATTAAAGATGTCAAACAGTTTTTCCTGTAAATTGCTACCACTGAATTGACTCCAAGTTTTAAAAACCTGTCAATTGCTAAATAGAGGTTCAATAAATGTGATCAAAAACCAATAGGAATCCTGATATAAAAGGTTTAAAATTCATTTGGCTGATGGAAATATAAAGAGATGTGAAGAAACATCTCTCCACAGATAGAGAATCCTAAGGTTAATTAGATCTGTGTTCAGCATATTTATATTCCCATTATCATTGTATAAAAATTGCATTTTTCCCCCTAATTTTCAGTATTTGATTTAATTGTATTCATTACAGAGCTTTACTTGTATGCCTTCAGTGACCCATTTTTCCATGCAGCTTATTAAATTTTCATTTTTGCTCATATCCTTATTATTCCCTTTTGCTTTCACTTTCTCTCTCACCATGATTCTGTGAAGTGTCGCTTCCAATACCTGTTTTTTTTTTTTTTTTCAAAAAGAATGGGACAGTTTTTGTCCAGCTGTTACAAAAATGTAAACCACGTGGTGTGAATGCCTTTCAAAATAAATCTCTTTCAGGACCAAACACAGCTTTCATGGTTTTTTGTTTCCACCCGTGGACACAGTGGGTGAGGAAGCAGACACTTTCGGGAAAGAGAGAATAATGAACCGCCAACACGAGGCTGGTAGTTCGATGAGTACACATGATAAATGACCATGGGGAGGGAGTAAAGGGCCAGAGCACAAGCACAGCCATTTGTTACTCCGCTGTCACGAATGTATTTTTAATGAATATGGACCTCTGACTCCTCTGCAGAGCACTGCTGTTCCTTGAGGCCAATGTGACCCCAATATTTCCCAGGAAGTGAACAACCCGCTTTTTATGTTGGTTGTACATGTAAATTATTTCCCCCTCTATTCTGAGGACATCAGTCTACATTATTATTATTATTATTATTATTATTATTATTATCTGTAGTGAGAATAGGGGACCACCCTAATTTCTGTGCTGCTGGCAGCTGGGAAGAAGTTTCACCTGGATTATTTTTTTGTGTGAAGTTTAAATTCTTTTAGTAGTGAAAAATATTATTAGGAATATAAAAAATAACGTTATATATAAATTATATGTAAATAAAAATGTATTCTGTCTTTATAATGCATGAAAATACTACAATGCCAAGAGAATATAATTGATAAATAAATATGTATGAATGCATTTACAAGCTACTGTTAGTGTCACTGTGCTTGGTTGGCCCAGGCTGCAATGCATTAGGATTTGTTTTAAATGATGTCCAGAACACTGTAAAGTTGGTTATATATAGTGATAGCGAATCCAGATTAAAGAGACCAGATATTGTATCTCCAATCACACTAGGACCATCGTTAAGTAGAAAAGGAGTACAAAAAATTCCAAACTTGTTTTATCTTATAGAATTCATGTGCATATGACATCATATGTCTAACACAGACATTACAATCTAAACCTTTCATTTGCTGTGATCAGTGCAGCATGTGTCGTCACATATTTTCAGTTTCACACACCTGTCATCTATCATCTACCATGATCCAGCATTAAAGTGACATATTTTAATGAATACATTCTGTAAAAAGCTAATTCATACAACTCCACACTTACTGGATCGTTACAATATCAGACGTTAGAACACAAACTCAGCTACAATCCTAGTGCTCAGATTCTAGTCACGTCTTTCTGGCTCGGAGTCTTCGTCTCTCTCATTAAAGTTGTGCGTTACTCTTAAATAAAGTGATTTTTCTTTTCAGTGCCATGCTCTCTTTGAACAGAAGATTTCTCAACTTTATGCTCTGACATCTTTGAGTTGTCAGCCTTCAAGTACATCCAGTTAATGTGGAACCAAGGTCTCACCTTGGAACTGTTGACAGCTGTATAGAAAATGTCATGTACTGTACTGTATTTGGGCAGGCAGGACATCATATACCACCCTGAGCTTGTTATGGCTGTATTAAGGCATGCTGATCCACTGGGGAAGAGACCAGGCTGAGATTTGAAATGACATGGTGTTTATGAAGGAATGTCATTTTTACTGGACATCTCCACAGAGCCGCGTCGCGCCGCTTGCTCGACTGCTCTTGATGGAAGTCTCTACCGGCTCCAGCATCAGGTTGCGGTTGTTCTTGTTTTTGTCTTGATCCGTGACATAACTCTGGTTTTGACTGACAACAAAAAATAAATAGGTTGCTTCAAGTCCCAAAATACAAAATTGACTGTAGGATATATTTTTGCAAAAAACTGAAATAACAATAAAATAAATTATAGAAAACAGCAACAATAAATCCAGTCAAAATAGGTTATAGAAATGCATTATTAAGAACCCAAAACAACTGTCAACCATACTTACAATTCATCTATTTTATCATGGGGGGTTTTATTTAAAAAGAAATGACTTTTTGAATGCAATAAACCATCTATTAAATTCACCTGTCTTGACTGTCCTTTGGCACGGTGCTGTCTTCATAGATTTTCAGCATTGTTTCAGTTCTGTCATCAAGATGCTCTTTAGGCTCCTGAAACCTATAAAAAAGATCAACATCTACGTGGTCATCAGAACATCAGGTCATAGATCTTAAACTTTACTAACAAGTAACAAAACCCCTTTTTAAAATCTGTACCATTGAATAATGTCAATGTGAAATTAGGGTAAAATATCAAAACATATTCCATACGTTTGATCTACTAAATTTTATTGATTTTAATATAATATTTTATTTGTTTATTATAAGCCAAAAGCAGGCACATGGAATTGCAACAAATTTCAGTCATATCTACAAGGTAAACAGGTATTAAGAAATATTAGCACACCTGGGCTCAAGCCTCTCTTTGACTTTAGCAATTGACATGATGTAGGGGCTGATCTGTCTGGCGATTGTTGTTAAATAAGAGTTCTCCTGTTTCAGCTGCATCAGGTCATGAAGCTGAGCTGCAGTCAGAGAGGAATTAATGTAGGTTTCATACAACAAGAGAAAGATAAGTAGTCAGGGTCAAATATGTGTTATCGCTGCTGAACAAAAACCTTCATAAATCTCCTGCTCATTGTTAACCATCTGCAAAGTTTCATCCCAGATCTGTGAAGAAAAGAATGAAATGTATATTAAGGGATTCATTGTATATTGCAAGGGAAAAGGATGCTCCGCAATTATGAGGAGGAATAATATACATTAAGGTCAACAAAAATAAGGTACATATTGCTTAGATTGTAAATATTATATATATGATCAATCTAAACAATTTTTTTTGCTAATTATAGGAAAATCATAAAATGAGTTAAATGAGGAGTAAAATTGAATTAAAGCTCAGGTTTCGTTACACATACCTCCTCAAACATAACCCTCATTGTGTCCACAGTGGAATACTGAGCAGCAATCTGGTTGTCAATATGCAGGGACCTGTCCAAGATTTCTCCCATTTTATCTGTGTTGATGATGGAATGGTGTTTGGTCAGATCTCTGTGCAGCTCCTGGACCTGGTCCTTTAGATTCTGGATCTCTGTCTGGAGACTCTAGAAACACCAAAGACATAAAAAGAATGTTTGGTGGATGTAAAGTTGTCTGCTTTGGAGATCTGAGCATAAAATGTTTGTTACTGTTTAAGCAAATTGAAAGTGAATCTCTCTCTTAATGGCTCACTTAATTTCTTATGATGCTTCTTAGATTAGACTTATAGTTAGACAGATTTTATTTGTCATTTTGTTTACAAAAGTGTAAACAAAATGAACAGCTATCTTAACAATTTCATCTTTTTTTTAAAGTGCAGCCTTGAAAAATAGCAATTTTTTTCTTGATTTCCAAGGTCTTTGATTTCTTTCTTTTTTTCTTTTTTTTTTAAGTAAAATAAGGCAACTATTTTGTTTCCTCTTGTAAAAACAACAACAACAACTAAATAATGGAAATGGGACAGCTGGTTATTTTCCCTGCTATAACCAAGCCTTTTAAAATATTGTTAATCCCACTGTTAGTCTGAATATTGAATATGTCAACAACAAAGAACATTTTTAAGTCATTATATTTTGATTTTACAATTTCATAGTTAACCTTAAGTGAGATTTTTTTTCACCATACTTTACTTAAATTTTTCTTTTTTCTCTTTTTGTAATACTTCCATAAAAAAAAAAATAAACTATGAATATTTGTTATGTATGTTAAGAAAATAGGTGGAAGATGGCATCTATTAATTAAATGAAACATATTAAATACAAACATAAAATTGAAATAGCATTAATTGCTTCCAGGTCAACAAGGTAGAGTACAAAATAAAGGCACTCAAGAATAAAACTGTATATCAGTTATACAAATTTAGTACTTTACAGTGTTTCTTTGTACACAAAATAAATATATCTGTATTTATTAATATAAACTGCCAAATTCTTCTTATTAGGGTTATCAAGTAACCATTGAATAACTAATATTTTTTTATACGTTTTTTTTTTTTTTTTTATGAGTCCTTTTTTTTTCCTGTATGGCCTTTTTTGTGTAAGCTCATCATCATTTTGTTGTCTTCGTTTATAGAACTGCTAGGATAGATAGACAGAAAAATAAAGATAACTGCTAAATACTGATAAATTCAGGCCTATTAACCGTACACGGTTATTAGCATAGTCTTTTTATCGAGTTCTAAAACAGGGTATATAAATAATGACATTTTTGTTATATGTGTTGCCTAATACTGTAGTGTGAGTAGAATATAATTTAGGCAGCACATAAACGTGGCCTTTAAAAGTATAATCCTTTACATTCTATATCAAAGATAAAAGATAAGAGAAATATATCTTAATTATTACAAAATTACAAAATGCTATTTTCAAAAGATAAATTCATTGGTTAAAGTAAGAAAATACATAAAAATAAAACGTTTTCAGAACCAGAATGTGCCTTTTTAAAAGCACCTACACTGTTTGTGATAACACCGAAGTTTCATCGGCTTTTCTTTGTACATTTGTTTTAGTTCGGCCAACTTGGAGGAGTGTTCAATATGAACTGAATGTTTAAGCTCCAGCAACAGCATCTCAAAGGAATTTAAGTCAAGCCTTTGATTTGGTCTTGTCCAAACCCTTCATTCATGTTTTTTTGTTCAGGCCATCCAGAGGCAGACCCGCTGGTTTGCTCCAGATTACTGTCCTTCTACATAACAGAAGTGGACTATAGCCTCAAGTCAGACACTGTTGGCAGGACAATTTCCTTCAGGAATTTACGAGGTTGAAAGGAAAAATCATTGTTCAGTGTTGGTCTAAATTCACCAGGTTTTGAAGCAGGAAACTGACAGCCAGGGCCGGACCAAACCTCTATAGGGCTCTTAGCAAAATTAGATTTTGGTGACCCTTTTTTTCTACCAATAATATCGACTGTGGTAATCAACAGTATCGAACAGCAGATTATTCACACACCTGCTATAAAATGATTGCAGCTTTGGCAGTTCTATGTAAAATTGAAAACATCATCTAATGTTACTAATTTAATTATCAGCATGCTGTTAATGTGCAATAAAATCAATCATATAGTTTAAAGTTTTTTCTTTCTAACAGCAATAACAATGTTTTAAAATCGACCTGTAGAGCAAGAACAGCAAACAAAAATTAGTTCCCCAAAAATAGGCACAATTAAATCTGTTAATAAAAAATCAAGCATGTTTTAAAAAGAAATACAAGAAAAACATAAAAAAAACAAACCAAAGAATTATTGTTTGGGGGCCTGGGGCCCAAAAGAAGCTGTTTTGCTCACTTGTGTCTTGGGCCGGCCCTCTTGACAACCATCATTAAGGATGATGTTTAAGGAGGACATATTTCTAAAGGCTTTTTCGAACAGTTTGGAAGTCTCCCAAATAGCCTTTGATAGTATGAACCTTTATATGTAACACACTCATATAAAATGCCGTCTTTTAAACAAGCTGTTGTATATTCGACTAGTTAAGTTCACTCTCGTCACTCACCCTGTAGGCGTTCTCGTAGTTACGGCAGTGCTCTGTGAAAGGGGTTTCCCTTCCCTCAGCCAGGAGGACCTTCGTGCATATGTTCCTGTGAGATGTCGGCCTTCGCCCGAACACAGAACCCAGTGGCATCTCATTGAGAGACGGAGAATGGCAAGGTAACGAAAGAGGGGACTGGAGCCTGCAGAGAGCAGATAATAATCATTATTGACCCTCTTCTCTCATCTAGATTTGTAGTTTGTTTCTAAGTTAATAACCTCAGCTGGTCTTATATGTGCATTGGTGCAATTTGAACTCCAATATTATGTAGTTAACCAAAGTCATCTTATCTAGTTAATATGCAGCAAAACTTTTAAGTATTGATGTTGGTTGAAATGTGTGTTTTCTCAGGCGTTATGCTAAATAAAACATTATCTGTATTCTACACAACAAAAAAAAACAACAAAAAAATTGATACATAATTGGTGAGACAGATGATAAAGTAGGGATGGAATATAGAAAAAATAAAAGAAAGTACACCAAAATACATAAAAAACACCTACCAGATATGAGCTACAGTATGCATTATAATAACTAATTTCACTGCAAACGAAAGGTAAGGAAAGAGTACAGAGGAAGCTTCATAAGGTTTAATAACTAAAATTAATATTCGGCAGTTTGCTTGGGCTGCATGTCAGTTAACCTTCTGGCTTCTTACAACTTTTTTTACATTTATGTGTAACATACAGCCAGAAAGAAAGCAAAACCCAGCAGCTAATATTCAAAATAGGTTTCATCATTTTCATTTTGTAATAAATTCTTTATATAACTTAAACTTCAGCTCAGCAACACTCAGACCCAGCTTCATTACTTGCATGGTAACTAATAACCTTAAAAAGGCTGATTTTTTTTCAGAAGTTAATGGTTCTATTTAACATTTACTGTCATCTCAGCATCTAGCTTTCATTCCAGCACAGCCAGCTATAAATGATGACAGCAGTAAAGAGACATCGGTTAGTCAAATGAACCTACTTGCAGCACTTCACTGATCCTCAGAGAGAAATTATGACAAAAAATGTTCACAGCAAGCTGACTTTCCATCAACTCCTGCTTGGTTTGCATCCTGCATTGCTGACTGTACGGAATATGCTTTAAGATATGAGTTTTAAATGCATAAAACACAGTAGCAAAACACTTTAAAACATGTCTATTAGAAAGTTGAAGTAGATTTTAATATAGTTAAAATTGCCACACACTGAGAAAAAGCCATTGCGTCACAGATTCATTGAATCTAGAGAAAATGATAAGATAAGAAGGGAATTACAATTAAAAAAAAGATCTCTAGGATCAGAGCACATTCCTAAAACAAAACCAACTAAATCTGCCCCATTATTTAACTTTCATCCTACCAGATGTTAATTTACAGCATATATAAGGAAAATGCATAGTGAGATAATGTTTGGAGCAAATGCACCTGTCATTCACATTTGGATTTCAAATTTTTAAAAAGTAATAAAAACATAATAAAAAACTTTACCTCCAATCCATTAATTTCCTATTCCACTGGTTTCCCTGTGCAGAAATAATGCGACACCAGACCTGTTTAAAACATATATCCTTCTCTCACTGTCATACAAGTCATCCTCACACACCCAGACTTCATCCTCACAATGCTGACGCCAATTTAAAACCTATCCTGTGCTAAAGCCGTGACATCAACGCTCCAACTGCTCCTGAGTGCCAACCTACAGCTGATTCCTAGACGGTTCTTTGAAATTATGATAAAAATAGTCTCAGGCGGCCGGACACCAATCCCTGTCAGGGTTTGCGTCTTGCGCTGGCGGGGCATTAAACATGTTGGAAAGAAACGTTGTCAGTATGCTGGCATTAGAGAGTGAGCTTAAGGACCTGTGAATAGTTGAGAGACAGTGATGTGGAAAAAGTGGCGGTGAAGAGAGTTTGTCTACAGCAGGCACAAAAACAAATTCCTCCTAGAGAATAGTTCCTAACTACTTTAGAGTTCAAGTTTCCAGCACAACAAACTCAGCATGTTTTTTGTTTTTCTTTTTATCTCCATCAATGACCTGTAGATGTGACTTTTTATCCATCCATCACCTGAACGCTATCTGGACACAACAGGTCCAGAACTTTCTAATTTGGGAATGCCACCCCCCCAATCCAGGCCCCCATTTAACAAGGTGAATTACGTAAACATATCAGAGTACAAAGCTTACAGAGAGGCAGACAAAATAACTGGCATAGTGGGATTCAGCCCGGCGCCTCCTTTCCGCTGCATCTGCACTTGCAAACCATTTGGGGATTTTAAACTTGGAAGCTTTACATGTGCGAAATTTTCTGCCTAGGCTTTTGTCTTTCTTCAAAGAATGCAAAAGGTGCAAATGACCCAAACTGAAAAGAAGAAAGTTTATGAAATAAAACATTTCTTTAAAGGAAAAGAGATTGAAATGAAAAGTTATTACCTTGTTACCATACTAGTGGAACCAGCAACAGAAGGAGGGCGGCGTGATCCTATCTGCAGAAGAGGCTCCAGACAACGAGCAAACTCACTCCTGTACTCAGTGTTGATCTGATGGAGTGCAGAGCCAAATAAGTAACCAGCAACATATTGTTTAGTTCCAGAAGTACAGAGAAATGATAAAAGATAATGCAACAACAAAGAATTGCAGTCTTTTCTTTGAAGCACTTTGTCTTTCATTTTGACTCTGAATATAACAATGTTGGCAGCAGGAAAGGTTTTATATCATCATAAACTGCAGAAATTTCAAAACTTAGCCAAGGAAAACATAGCCTCTTTTTTTTTAGGGCGCTTATTTTCTGTAATACTCGGTGTGCCAGCATTGTCAATGCCTTTTAGCTCCTTATGAATGCTATGCAGGATACTCACTTTGCTGCTCTGCACTGGCCGCAGGCGATGAGGGAGCTTTGCAATCCTCTTCAGTCTTTCCATGAGTTGCTGTGCAAGCAAGAACATCGGGTTTGATTCAGTGACCTATTTCACCCCACTGAGGCATTATGGATAACCTTAATTTAAGAATGGATTCAACGCCAAAAAATAAAGTAACCTTTCGATTGCAGACAGCACTTCGTCAAAAAACGTCTAAGTCTCTCTGCTTTCAGGCTTGCTTGCTCAAAAACCAATATGCTTTAATTATAACATCTTATTTGGACTTTTCTGTGTTCCATCAAATTCATCATATGTAACTTATTGCATCTTTTATGACTGTACTGCAATTTTGGAGAGAATTTAAAATAGATTAAAATGCAATTATATAACCAATCAAGACTGTATTTAGTGTACTTACATAGCCCATATCCAGAAATTCAAACTTGTTGGCTGAACTAAGAAAAGCCGAGCAGGTGACCAGGTGAACCTAAAAAACACCAGGGTTAAAAATTGAATACTTCAATGTATTAAGACCTGCAAAATTTAAAGAACCAGCTGGAAAAGTAAGCCTAACATCCATCTATCTATCTATCTATCTATCTATCTATCTATCTATCTATCTATCTATCTATCTATCTATCTATCTATCTATCTATCTATCTATCTATCTATCTATCTATCTATCTATACTTACTTTTACAAAATTGTGTCATATTTCTACACTGGTGCTTGAACCTAAATAAAATATGCCCCTCTTCCTACGGTTGTGAAGTTTTTGACCTTTAGTACGGTATTTCATCATCATTCGCATTTTGATCTTCCCTTCACCTGAAGTGTTGGAAGCAAAGCAGTAAGATGAGACAGTTGCTCCTTTAATGCTTTCTCCTTCTCCTCATGCTGACTGCAAACACACACACAAACAAAAACCCCTCAAAATATGTAAGACAACACCTTTAAACTCATGCATGCCACAGTACACAGAGGAATCGGCTCAGGAGGTGCGACCACAAACAAAACAATCTGTATTTCCAGGAGCTAATCTATCTGTCTTCTCCTGTAACAAACACACGGATGAAGGCACAGTGTCAGACACACAAAGCATGACATAAATAGCCTTTAACATCCTTCTGGGAACCCAAACCACTGGATGGTTTCCAGGCAATAGAGAGAGAGAGAGTGAGGGATGGATACAGACAGAGATGCACTTTGCTGGATCTCAAAATTGTCTTCATTTAGTCACGCACACTTAAACACATTGCCTCCAATCAAGAAAAAATACCTAGGGGAAAGTTATCTTATATATTGTTTGGGATTCACTCATAAGTAATGAAAATGTGCAATTTTTTTTAAGAATGGTCATGATACGCAAGAAAAGCATCCTATATCACTTTGTTTAAAATATGTCATTACATCTAAATCATGGAAGATAAACTAGTCCAATGCATTGGTCAGTTCCTAAAAAAGGAGCACCTAATCAAACTGTAACACTTCCTACAGATATTTAAGTGTAATTGCTTTAATATGTTAATCTTTACTGGAGTTTGAAAACAATATATTCATCATGTAATACCTATATGTCTCTGCAGGCAGGTTTAAGGTTTTTAATTGACAGTTACTGTTAAAATCATTGCATAAGATAAATAAAAACAAATACACCATTGTGACGGGTGCAAAGTGATTATTCCAGGGGAAACAATACACTGTTTATCAATTTCAAGTTTAATGCACCAAAGTGTAATAAAAAGAAATGAACATAACACCTCAGTTTGTGAAAGTAAGACAATATTACAATGAAGCAGAAATGCAGATGAAAAAATAAAGGACATGTTGATCCTCAGATTTATTTATTTATTTGTTTACCTCTGAGCTGCTTTCAACAGAGTCTTTTTTCTCTCTGCTAGCCTTTCCTGTCAAATGAGAAGAGAAAAAAAAGCCTTCATTATTTCTCACAATGAGGAAACAGCCTTGGGCTCTGCAATACCTCATAAATTCTTAAATTTGTGTGGACAGTTTTTGTAAATTTTGTAATGTTGTTTCCAACTCTATCATTATGCTAAGGGGGGGAAAAATCCTTGTTTTCAAATCATTAGCTTAATAGAGACATCCAGTGGCCAAGTAGCGTTAGTGATATCAGGGGGAATAAGATGTTAATGACTGAACTAAAATTGGAATCTTAGGGAAAGAAATATTCACCAAGCAGGTCACCCTGTCCACAAAAAAAAAAAAAAAAAAAAAAACCTGAAAAGTAATATTGCACAAAGATAAGTGTGTTACTTCAAAATAACAAACTGAAGTGAAGGTAAATAAAACCCACAGAAGTACATTTTCTTTTTCAAAAAGCTACCTAACTCTGCACCTCTAAGTATTGATTGTTTACAGCTTTGAGTTTTCTGTTCATATGCTTTGATGCCGTCCTTCAATATTCCAGTTTTTACAGCCTTCAAATTTAGGTTATACACCGAACTCTACTCAAGCTGAATGAAAACAACTAACCTTTTGTCGCACACTGTTGATTTAAGTCTCGAAGCAGTTTTAAATGTCTTTTTTTTTTCAGTTTACACAGTTTTCTGTATAAGGAAATTTCTTTCAAACATTCAGCTCAAACAGCTGGTAAAATCTTCAAAGTTAGATTAGAGCAGTACTGGGATTCATATTTTTTAATAGGAATTTTCTCAATTATGATTTTATATAAAATGATTGCATGTTAACAGATATGCTGTGCATTGTAAAAATAACCTTTAGAAGCATGTTTGGGAATTGATTTTAGCCAGTTAATGTCATTTACTTGGGAAATTTCTATATACACATACAGAGTATGGACTGAGGGGGTTATTTAGTTGTTTTATGCAAAATATTTTTGCTTTATGTAAAATGTTTAATTGGGACATACATCGGTTACATGGTGTTATCCTTTGAAGACGTGGATATAAAAAGAGACCTTTTTAAAAAACTTTAGAAACAAAAATATTAAATAGACCTGCAAACTGTTGAAAAGACTACAGATTGCACTTTCTTCTTCCTCCACATTCAAATGCACTTCCCCGATCATTGCTCTTAGCAGATGGATCGCTTCTCCAGTTGAAGTCTGCAGCTCCTTCACCACCTGCAGTTAAAAGGCAATGTTGTTTGGTAAATAATTTTGGCAATTCAATCTATGTACAAGCTACCTGCATTTCAAAAGCCTGGTGAAAATTAAAAAACACATTGGTTCCTCATCATGTTATCAAACTGCGATGTTGACAAAATGACATCCTTTCCTTCTGCCTCATAAAATTGTAAAACAGCCGAAATGAATTCCTCACCAGTACTGCCTGGTCCAACATCTCACACCCCTGTGCATAAGCTGTTTCAATATCAATGCAGTGAGTTCGACTCTCCCTGCAAAAACGGAAGACATTTTTAAACAAAGCAAAACCAGCAACCCTGATTCCTTCTGAGAGCATTTTCTGTTCTATTTTGTGGATTCACTCACACTTGCATGTCTCGGAAACATTTGATGCAAAGCATAGATTTGTTTTCCGTCGAGAAAAGGATGTAGGGTTCCTCGTGCAGAGCTGTGGAGAGTAATACATGTTAACTATAGCCTAGATGAAGTTTGAGAACTGTGACAAACTGCAGGGCTCTGAATGAGAACCCTACTGGTGAACAAAACTCTTAGTTTTCTCTTACACTGACAGCAATAAAAAAATTAACAACTATTTTCCCTGAGGATATGATTACATGGAGCAGGACAATTATGCAGAAATCAAGAGGGAGCACATCTCTCTGGCTTGTTGGTATATAATTACTGTGGAGTAAATTACAGGTGGCACTCACAGCATTTTCTGTGTTTAGCTTTGGTGCGTTTGGCCAGCGACACAATCTCGTGATGGGAAAACATTCTGGCCTTGTGTGTTAGCTCTCGGCAGGTGGCACAAAGTGGCTGGTTGCAAGTGTTACAGTAGTACATCAGTCCTGTGTCCTGCACACACATATGCAAAATAAGAGAGTAAATTCAGTGATGAAAAAAATGAAGAAATAAAACTGAAAATAGGATTAAGACAAAATACCTAAGTGCTGCACTTGAAATACAGTGAGGAAAATAAGTATTTGAACACCCTGCTATTTTGCACATTCTCCCACTTAGAAATCATGGAGGCGTCTGAAATTGAAATCATCGTTTGACTAATGTATGAATATTTAACTATATATTTGTATGATACAGCTGCAAATAAGTAATTAAACACCTTTCTGTCAGCTAGAACTCTGATTTATTTCCCTCAGTGTAGCTTAGAATTCGATGTCCTGTAATAATTTAGGAAATAAGTCCTCAGCTTTCAACCTAATGAGATGACAAATCAATAGTATTGTTTCTTTTGTTTCAATGTCCATGAACTGGAATAGGTTAAAAGGCTGTACTTTGTTGCTTTCTTGGTCACAGTTGGCACACAGCGCTGTCTCCTCCACATCTGCGTTATTGTCCACAAGGAACTTCAGCAGACGATCCTCTGGTGGGAGGGCATTATTTCCTTTTATCATTGAGTTGTATCTACAGAGATCAAAGACAAAATCCCCACATCATTATAATTGGATGGATAGACAGACAGACAGAGGGACAGCCAATTAGCTTCTCTGGAAACAGAACACAATTTCATTTTTTTATTATTAATATGAAAATGTGTTCATATGATTAATTCATTTTTTTTTTATTAACAAAAATATACATATCACTGATATTCAAGAGAGTTCAGACAGCAGAGTGATCTACTACATCTAATCCGCTAAATATATTAAACAATTTTTAATAATTCAGAAGTATATTATAGGTGGAAAGCAATTATTATTTATATAATATGAAATGGGAAATTTTAAAAGGTATAAGTGAAGAATTAGAGTCTTTAAAAATTTAACAATGAGAAAAATCAGTCTAAACAAAAGGGAAAAAATAAAATAGATATGTTTTATTTTGTTGTTTTCTGCTTTTGTGGCGCAGTTCTAAAAACATCCGATTGCGGCAGCAGAGAGATCCCAAACAGGATATTCACCAACGAAAATAATGCGGAAGTCTGCGTCAAAAGACACAAGCAGCGTGTGCAGCCCTGCGTTTGTCTCATCTAGAAAGTTCTGGCAAGTGAAATATCTGACCGGTAAATGACAGCGTGAGCGTTTTTACTCTGAGAGGAATATTTTCAAAAACAAAATGTCTCTTATTTCCGAGGAAAATGTTCGAGGAGGAAGTGTTTTTAGGGAGCTTAGTGCTGACGACGAAGATTGGCAGCCCACCGAGATGGAGAGCCTGTGTATGAACTGCTACCAGAACGGAACCACCCGAATGCTCCTGACTAAAATACCTTTCTTCAAAGAAATCATCGTTAGCTCCTTTAGCTGCGCCAGCTGCGGCTGGTCCAACACGGAGATCCAATCTGCGGGCCGGATCCAGGAGCAGGGCGTCTGTTACACCCTCAAAGTCAAAGCAAAGCAGGACTTGAACCGAGAGGTCGTAAAAGCCGACAGCGCGACCACCAGGATCCCCGAGCTCGATTTCGAAATCCCCGCTTTCACCCAGAAAGGTTCGCTTTCTACCATTGAGGGGCTGCTGGACCGAGCGGTGGCCGGACTCGAGCAGGACCAGCCCGCGAGGCGCGCGGCAGACCCGCAGGTGGCGGACAAAATAGAGGAGTTTATCCAGAAACTGAAGAAGCTAAAAGACGTCGAGCACGAATTCACGCTTGTGATTGAAGATCCGTCAGGGAACAGTTTTATAGAAAACCCCGTTGCTCCTCAGAAGGACGAGGCTCTGACGGTGACCCGGTTCAGGAGGACCGTCCAGCAGGACCAGCAGCTGGGGATCAGAGCTGATGATGACCTGGAGGAAGAGCCAGCTGGGAACGACTTGGAGGTCATGAGAGGGGAGGTCCTGGTCTTCCCAACCAACTGCCCTGAGTGCAACGCTCCTGCCTCCACCAACATGAAGCTGGTCCAGATTCCCCACTTCAAGGAGGTCATCATCATGGCCACAAACTGTGACAGCTGTGGCCATCGAACCAATGAGGTTAAATCCGGTGCAGCTACAGAACAGCTTGGCACCAAGATCACGCTGCACATCACCGACCCTTCAGACATGACCAGGGATGTTCTCAAGTCGGAGACATGCTCTGTCCTCATTCCTGAGCTGGAGTTTGAGTTAGGAATGGCAGCTTTGGGGGGAAAGTTCACTACACTGGAGGGCCTGTTGCAGGACATCAAGGATCTGATAGTCTCCAAAAACCCCTTCATCTGTGGCGACAGTAGCAGCAGTGACCGGCTGGACAAGCTGAAGGAGTTCGGAGAGAAGATTGAAAAGATCCTCGCTGGACAAATGAAAGTGCACATAGTCCTAGATGACCTAGCAGGGAACAGCTATTTGCAAAATGTTTATGCTCCAGAGGCAGACCCTGAGATGACAGTGGAGAAGTACACACGCACATTTGAGCAGAATGAAGAGCTGGGACTGAATGACATGAAAACTGAAAACTATCAACAAGAAAAATGAACTGAACAGAATAGCTAAAAAGACTGAAAAACAAGAGAATTGGAAATATGTAGACATGGACCCAGTGTAGAATTGCTGCATATTTCCTCCAATTTTATGTTTTATTTTAAAAACTGGGTGATTTGTTGCTTTCAAACGGCCTTATACCGTACTTGAGTAATTCTAAGTTGTTGTAACTAAGCGTTTTACCGAAAGGAAGCCTGATTTGTAAAAAATAAATACAAATAAAGTTAAATATCTGCTCAAAATCATGCATTCATTTGGCATTCCAGAAGATGGCGCTGTTTTACTTTAAAATATTTAGCTTTTAGAGGACCACACACTGTGAGACAAATTAATCTCATTATACACCTGCCTTAATCTAAATAACATTTAAATAAATTGATGTGATGTTAGCTCTGTTCAGGATTTAGTATGCAAATGTGGTTAATATAAAGCTTTTCAGTTAAAAAATACATTTATTTTCTTCACAAATGTACATATTGAAATACTTCAAAGTCAGGGTCTTCAGGGAGGTTTTTGGGCCAACTGTTCAATGATGCAATATTTAACAATATTGTAATGCCATTTATTTTTAGTATAATGCAGCTAGTTCAGAAAAACTATTACTGATATCTCAAAATGTATCAAGTGTAAAAATACCAAAAACTTAACATTTTAAAATTTGATATACAGGTGCTGGTCATAAAATTAGAATATCATGAAAAAGTAGATTGATTTCAGTAATTCCATTTAAAAAGTGAAACTTGTATATTATATTCATACATTACATACAAACTCATATATTTCAGATGTTTATTTTGTTTAATTTTGATGATTACAAATGACAACAAATGAAAATCTCAAATTCATCATATCAGAAAATTAGAATATTACTGAAGACCAATAAAAACAAAGGATTTATAGAAATGTTGGCCAACTGAAAAGTATGAACATGAAAAGTATGAGCATGTACAGCACTCAGTATTTAGTTGGGCCTCCTTTGGCCTGTATTACTGCAGCAATGCGGCGTGGCATGGAGTTGATCAGTCTGTGGCACTGCTCAGGTGTTATGATAGCCCAGGTTGCTCTAATAGTGGCTTTTAGCTCTTCTGAATTGTTGGGTCTGGTGTATTGCATCTTCTTCTTCACAATACCCCATAGATTTTCTATGGGGTTAAGGTCAGGAGAGTTTGCTGGCCAATTAAGAACAGGGATACCATGGTCCTTCAACCAGGTACTGGTAGCTTTGGCACTGTGTGCAGGTGCCAAGTCCTGTTGGAAAATGAAATCTGCATCTCCAAAAAGTTGGTCAGCTGCAGGAAGCATGAAGTGCTCTAAAACTTCCTGGTATGTGGCTGCGTTGACCCTGGACCTCAGAAAACACAATGGACCAACACCAGCAGATGACATGGCACCCCAAACCATCACTGACTGTGGAAACTTTACACTGGACTTCAAGCAACGTGGATGAAGTGCCTCTCTTCTTTTCCTCCAGACTCTGGGACCTTGATTTCCAAAGGAAATGCAAAATTTACTTTCATCAGAGAACATGACTTTGGACCACTCACCAGCAGTCCAGTCCTGTTTCTCTTTAGCCCAGGCAAGACGCTTCTGACGCTGTCTGTGGTTCAAGAGTGGCTTGACACAAGGAATGCGACAGCAGAAACCCATGTCTTTCATACGTCTGTGTGTGGTGGTTCTTGAAGCACTCACTCCAGCTGCAGTCCACTCTTTGTGAATCTCCCCCACATTTTTTAAGGGGTTTTGTTTCACAATCCTCTCCAGGGTGCGGTTATCTCTCTTGCTTGTACACTTTTTTCGACCACATCTTTTCCTTCCCTTCGCCTCTCTATTAATGTGCTTGGACACTGAGCTCTGTGAACAGCCAGCCTCTTTAGCGATGACCTTTTGTGTCTTGCCCTCCTTGTGCAAGGTGTCGATGGTCGTCTTTTGGACAACTGTCAAGTCAGCAGTCTTCCCCATGATTGTGTAGCCTATAGAACTAGACTGAAAGACCATTTAAAGGCTTTTGCAGGTGGTTTGAGTTAATTAGCTGATTAGAGTGTGGCACCAGGGGCCATCAATTTTGAACCTTTTCACAATATTCTAATTTTCTGATATGATGAATTTGAGATTTTCATTTGTTGTCATTTGTAATCATCAAAATTAAACAAAATAAACATCTGAAATATATGAGTTTGTATGTAATGTATGAATATAATATACAAGTTTCACTTTTTAAATGGAATTACTGAAATCAATCTACTTTTTCATGATATTCTAATTTTATGACCAGCACCTGTAGTAAGAAACGTGAATGTTTTTATCACATTGGATTATCACATTGGATTTAAATAGTCCGCAAACTGCCTCATTTTGATTCCGTTGTGCACCGTATCTCACACCCTGCTGAGCACTTTATCTGTTTTCTTTATTTGGCTTCCCCCTAAAAGCAGAGAGGTGAGCTACTAGATTACATAGCTCATGAGGGAGCAGCTGTTGTGAAAAGAAGCAGATGAAAATAGATGCCAGCATTCAATATACTCAGAGCAAACAATAACACACACTGGACGTCTTGGAGATTCTTTCCTAAGACTGCTGTTTTCTATCTTTATGAGTCGGGCTTCTGACTGATTATACATGGATGAAAAATAAAATAAAAACAACTTAAAAGTTCAAAAAAGCATTAGAACCTAATGCAGGTGGGTCAAAATCTATAAATATCAATTATTACTTTTTCCAGAGAGACTCAATATGATTATAATGTTTTAAATAAAACAATATTTATTAGGGATGCACGATATTGGGATTTTGGCCGATATGCTGATATTTTAAAACTCATGTAGCCGATAACCGATACTGATGTTAAAGCTGGACAAAAATAAGTAGTCATTGAAAATGGCAGTTTTGTTATCTATTTCTGACACTTTGAAAAATAATATACTCAAATATATTTTCATATGCTGATATCAAATAGATTTTTTAAAACGCGGTATTGATCTATTTTTCAAAATCTCGTGAAATTTCATCGTTCTGTTACAAACTCTCGTGATATTTGCAAATTCTTGTGAGATTTTGTTAGTAAAATAGATTGATACCGCGTCAATATATCAACATATAAAAATATGGCAAAATTTCGATGACATATAGCAATATTTCATTAGTAAAAGAGATTGATATGGTGTTTTTAAATGGCAATATATCAGCATATGAAGATATTGTGATATTTTAATGTATCAATATTTTTTCCCTCGTCTTTAGAAGTTTTTGAGGAAGAAGAAGAAGTAGTATTTTATTTTATTTTTTTAGACTTTAGAAACTCAGAAGCTGATCAAATATCGGGTTAAATATCGGTGGGGTGGCCGATGTCCGATATTCAGTTTTAAGGCCGATACAGGCCGATACCGATAGGGGGCCGATTATATCGGGCATCCCTAAAATTTATAGAAAAACAGCGCTTGTTTATCTAGAAAAACTAATAGGACTGCCCTAAATGTGATTGTGCACCATAGCTTTCTCTATGCAAGGAATGAAACAGGTTGCTATAGTATCATATGGCAGCTTTAGCTTGTCTAAAGCTGATGGCACTGCTGCCAAATACCAGTATGCTTTGTTTGCTATGTGACTGGGCTTAATGGAACTTTGAGCCCCTTTCAGTATTTGAGCCAAAGGCTAAACTAGAGAGTGGTGTGACTCTGCAGCTGTTTTCACCACCCAGACCTGCCAAACCCTGTCTATGATTCAGGTCACGATTGTCAACACTGGGACTGGGTTGGAGTCTCTTAACACTTGGAGGTAAAACTGGACAAATGTTCAAATCCATATGAACTGGATTATTTATCCAGGGCATTCTGTTAGGGTCTGAGGTTGGAGTACTTGACATATCTTGACTTTTGACTCAATGTCACTGTTTAAGGATTTGTGGTTTAGCACCACATGCCGTGTCATGGCTCAGGTGTCCAATGCAGGCTAAGTCATTTAAACTGAGCTTGACCAACTGCAAAGTTTCATCTCTTACCCACAGAGGGGGCAGCTGAGGCAGCAGTCATTGGTCCGACCTCGCAGACAACGGGCGCAGAAGATATGGTAGCAGTCTAGTAAACATGGAGACTTGTACTGCTCATGGCACAGGTGACACACAAGGGGGTGGAGGTTAGAGCAGTCCTCCTCAAACAGGTTGCCCACATTGGAGAAGATCCCTCCTGCCATCTGAAGACAGCAGGGTGAATAATGACATACATGAAGCTCACATCATTTCATCACTTGAATTAAAAAGGTTTGTGCGGTGGTGTGAAATAACAGTCCAAATATTCCCGTCATTTAAAGAGAGGCTAATCTGACAGAGACAGCAAGCCGGCAACCAAAGAAAAGCCTGAAAACAGATGAAGTAAACATGCAGAACCATTTTAGTCTTCCCAACTCAAGCATGTTATGTGAACACAAATTCAGTCATGACTTTAGATCAAACACCAGATTTACTGTTGACAACATGTATCTGACAAAACTTACTGTAAATGTAGCAGGCTTGTCTGGAGAAAGAACAGAGAGCCACTGTCTTACCTTTCTGTGCTGCAATCAGCTACCCCCAGCAGGAATGGCAGCAATGCAGAAACTCTTCAATAGTCTGCTCATGGGGTCTGTCCACCAGGCAGCTGACAACGTACAACTCCTGCCAGCCGCCCCCCCCCCCCCCCCCCCCCCCCCCCCCAAGTGTTGCCAGAGTTCAAAAGGGACATTTAATATTCTTATTGCAGGCAGTCTGTAAATACAGTTCCTAATCTCATACTGACATTACACTTTGCACTGTACACAAGAGAAATGTGCAGATCACTCTGTTAAAACCCCCAATTGGTACTAAAACCAAATGAAAGGCTAAAATGGAATGAACATTGAGCTTTGTCATAATCTTGCTGATATATAGTATTTTGTGCTTCAAAGTAGTTTAAATAATTGCTGACGTTTTAAATTAGGATTATTGTGATTTCTGTATGTACATATAAGGATTTACGGACCAGATAAACTTGGACAGAGGGCTAACGAGAAAAAAAAAAAATATATATATATATATATAAATAATTTTCCTGGATGTAGATTAAATAGAAAAGGAGTATAATTAATGGAGAATATCAAGTAATGGAGAGCTTAACCTTCACAAGCTTTGTCTATCCCACAACCACAAAGCTTGTTAAGGTGTCTAATAAGGACAGAGTAAATATTTTAGAATATCTATCATCCATTATAGGGAAAATAACTAGGGCTGAAATAAAATAATCAGATTAATCATGATTAATCGATTATTGAACTAATCATCAACAAATTTAATAATCAATTAATCATTAACTGGAGTATAGAGACTGTAAAACATGTCTTTATCTGACAAAGCAACTCACTTAGAGCAGCAATTAGACCTAAATTGTAAAACAAAATGTTTGTATATATATATATATATATATATATATATATATATATATATATATATATATATATATATATATATATATATATATATATATATATATATATATATATAAATATTTTCTATTTAAGATAAAAAAATATATATTTTTCGTCTCTCAATATGGTCCATCCAGTCTCCTCAAGGGGAAAATCTTCAGTTTCACCTGTTTTTTGGTCTTTTTTTGTAAAATGTCTTTAAGGCTTTAAGGAACCTTTGGCTATCCAATTATTCTTTTATTAATGGAAATAATCGTTAGTTGCAGGCAGCCCTAAAAATAACCAATTGTTCCTCCACTGTTAGAAGAACTGATTCACAAACCAGATCAAGTAAAAACACACAAAAAAAACAAACCTCTATATAAAGTTTTAATGTAAAAGCAAACAACATACAAATAGTCACCAAATAGTGACTTAATTTATTCACTTCCTAAAAGAAGGTGAAAAACTTTTGACTAGTATAAATGTGTTTCATACAGAAGAGGACTAGGGCCACTGGGGAAAAAAAGAAAAAAAATTAACTGAATTTTAAATTTTATTTCAGTATGGTATGGGACTTTTTTCTCAGAATTTTGACTTTAATCTCTTTTTTTCCATATTATACTGAAATAAAATTTAAAAATCAGTTCCTCTTCTGTAGTTTCAGCAACAAAAGTCAAATTGAAAAACCCCAACATTTTTTAACAGGTCTACTTAATCGATTCCAGATAAGTGGATCCGATCGATGTAGAAGCGGAGCCTTTTATTCCCTGCGCAGCCTGAGCTCTTTCCTTTCGCTGAACGTGTCAGCCATGGCTCCGATAGTGAGTAGTAGAAACACTAAATAAAGTGTACAAAGAGAATAATATTCTCTTTCTCAAAGACATATTATGTCTTTGCTTATTTGTGTTATAACAGCTGTGTATGTAGTTGGACTAATATGCTGCAGTTGTTGTGACCGTCAAGTCTTTTTATTAATCTTTAAATAGTGCTACGACTCCAGGGCACGTTGTATTGGGGTGAATACAGCTAATGCTAGCAGCGATAGGAATGTGGCCAAGCTCTTTAACTTCCTGTCACCTAATAATGTGTGTTTGCATTGCAGAAGAAACTAGCAGTGAGGAGACCCGGTGGAAAGAGGAAGAAGCAGATCCTTAAGTTCACGCTGGACTGCACTCATCCTGTGGAGGATGGCATCATGGACGCTGCTAACTTTGTGAGTAGATCCACAAACATGTTAGAAAGAACCCAATCTGGCCTCGGTGTTTAGAGAGTCTCCTGCCCGTGATGTTTCCTATAGCTGATCAGAATATTATTTTGTTTATATAGTTTGTTTTTAACTAATGTACTGATTCCTGCCTCCTTTGTTTTCCCCTGTGTCTTCTTCACATCCAGGAGCAGTTCCTGCAGGAGCGCATTAAAGTGAACGGCAAAGCTGGAAACCTTGGTGGAGGAGTGGTCTCCATTGAGAGGAGCAAGAGTAAAATTGCAGTGAACTCAGAGGTTCCCTTCTCAAAGAGGTACAACATGCATAGCTGCACTGACATGCTGCAGAGTTAGACACACAGACACCTGGATCAACATAATATACAGAGTTGTGGTTTTGGTAATGAGAGGATATCTGTTTGATAAATATTTCTTGGTTTTGCCAAACAAAGTAACAACAAATACATGTTATGTTGAATTAATAGAATAAAATAGAAAAGAAAAACCCTTTATTGTTGCTCAATGGGGAAATTCTGGTATTTACATATCAAGTGGGAAAACTGAACTGCAAACTTGGCTGAATGATTAGCCAAAATCAGTTGCACCCTCCTATTTTTTTATTTCTATTTTTTTTAACAGGTTTGACCATTGTGATCAGGGTGTCCAACATCCTGGCATTTTTCCTGAATAATCCTTTATTAGAAAACTAATGCCCTACTCCTATTGGAAAAGCATTGATCACATTTCTCTTTAGGTTTCGATACTGAAATTGACAGACATATCCTGGATATGATGTTATTGCATCTGCCCAATGCTGTGTGTAACTGAAAGCGCTATCATGCTGTATAACAGAAGCCTACAATGCAATGATGTGTTTGACTAAATGTCCGATCTGCACGTGACTGAGCTGCATTTTTTCGCTACTAAAATTGAACTTTATTGATCTCACATTGGAGTAATTTACCTCTGCATTTAACCCATACCCGGGGAGCAGTGTCGGGTTAAGGGTCTTGCTCAGGGACCCCGAGTGGCAGTCTGTGGGAGTAGGAATCAAACTTGGAACCTCAGGATACCAAACACTATGCCCTAACCACTGGGCCACCACTCCCCACTTCTGTCCTGATGTTCCACAAATCGTGACCATATTCTGCATATTGCAGCAAAATACAAATGCTGCATCCAGCTAATAAGAAATGGAAATGTCATGAGAGCTGTATAAATCGGAATTTTGTTTTGTATGAAAATAAGACAATAAAGTTTGTCTAAGTCTAAAGTATAAGTATCAACACTCACTCTTACCTTAGAAAGGTTTCAAATCAACTTCCTTTTACTTTGAAAGTCTTTGAATAAACTTCTGGTTCTAACAGCTCAGGAGACCTCACAGTGCAGCTCCTGACAATGCAGGTCTGCAGGCAGACACCTCTCGAAATTCTCTTTGGTGTTTAGATCAATTTTTGCTTGTCAATTAAGCACACTTACAGAAGTGTCATTAAGCCGTCTTTTGGTACCTTTGGTAGTTGGGCCAGGTTTCAAGTCCCCCGTGAAAAATAAAATGAGCAGATCAACAAAGCTTATTAGTGATCAAAGAAACGTCCTTGGACGGCTGGGTTAACTGTGGGCTTCAGAAAACACTAGGCAAACATTAGATGAAATTTTGGTTAGCTGGACTACAAGAAACATGGATTATGTCCCTCTCCACTCCTCCTTGATGATATACAAACTTTTTAGTTTTATCTAAAAAAAAAAAAGCAAAACAAAATTGGGAGGTATTACAGCTAAACAGAAATACCATGGTATGAGGAGAAATCGCAGTGAGATGAAACAAAATTACTAGCAACAATAACTCAACGTGTCAGATGAGAGTAGTAGAAGTTGGATTTGTTCACCTACCCCAGCTTATAGCACTGTAACTATAGAAATAGTTCAGGATGGCATAAGTCACTCTATCATTTTTATTTGGTAAAACGGTTTAGCATATGTGCTGTCTGCTTCGTTGTTCAAACTTTTCCCTCAGTGTTTTGTGTTCAGAATGACAACATATTTAAAATTGAGGAATCAATTGATTATATTTTGTAGCATGTTTTACCAATAAAGAAAGGAAACACTTTATTATCAAACTATTATAAAATTGATCCCATCGGGCATAAACAAGCACTCTCAAAATTAAATAAAGAAAAACTGGCAGATGTTTTTTTTTTTTTTACTGCTCACACAAATTGTTAAAACTTTGAATGATTAAAAAAGCTTTACATAAGTTTAAATCAATAATATCTGTTTCTGTCACATTGTTGTTTTTTAATATTGAAAATGTAGCATAAAGTAAACAAAACAATTGTGTGTTTTGCAATATGGCCACCAGGGGTCACTGTGGTGCTAAGTCTTAAATAAAGTCGCATTGAATCTTGAAGCCATATGGAAATGTTGCAAATACCCTTTATGTAAACTAAATCTTCTTTGTTAAAACATTAAAACCCATTGATCCGGTTATGGAAGTATGCATTATTTCATTGATTCTTATTACATACTTGAACTCACTCATGCCACTGTCTTTTAGGTACTTGAAATATCTTACCAAGAAATACCTGAAAAAGAACAACCTCAGGGATTGGCTGCGGGTCGTGGCGAACACCAAGGAAAGCTACGAGCTGCGCTACTTCCAGATCAACCAGGATGAGGAGGAGGAGGACGAAGAGGATTAAACCAAAGATCCCTCTTAATAAATTGTCACTAGACAAAAAATGTCTTGGATCGTTTGTGTTTTTAGATTGGATTGTTTTATTTTGTTAAGAAGTCCAATTTAGATCAGGAATCTACTTTAAATGGAGACCTGTCAAAGTTAGCAGTCACACACGTTCAAATGAAGTATAACATGTACAGTAAACAAGAAAAAGTAATGATATGAACTAACTCTTTAAAAAAAAAAAGCTGCATGCATTCCTACTTCACTGTTTTTTTTTATAAATTGTCACTTGACAGTTGTGCATGATAGAAAAATTAATTTTTGCCAGTTTTGATAAAGCACATATGCTTATTCCACAGCTACAAACATAACTGCAAAGTTTTATCTGCCACAGTTTTTTAAACTTAACTTTCCTATACTAATAGGAATATTAAGTAAATTAGTGAATGTCTGTAGATTATAATTTTTTTTATTTGGGCTACTACTGACCAAAGCATGAACAAGTAAAAGAAGTTGAAAAGCTCTACAAATGCTGGGCTTTAAGGATGGGGGTTATAGACTAAATAATGGAAAACACAGTTCCGAGTTACTTGTTAAATCTACCTTTTTTCTAGTTTAATGCATCGATTTTCATAGTATTCATAGCAGCGTGTACTGTTACGTGCCTGCAGTAATTAATAAATCACTAAACATCAGTATTCTATAGTCTAATACAGCAGCTTTTTAGTTGCAACTGTATGAAGAGATTGTGCAATTGAATCTTGTATCAGTTATGCACTGATACAGAGAATAACCATATATGTGTTTAGTTTATTTCTTTTATTCAAAGGTAAGCTTGGAGTAAAGCAGCTGTGAACTTGCAGACAGAAGCTGCAGCAGACATGCTTTCCTCCATTAGCTCCACCACCAGATGCTCAGTGCTGTCTCTCTTTGCACAGCACTAGTTAAAGTAGTAACTAAGAGAGTATGACTAACTAGTTGTGGAGAAACTATGGGATGCATCGTCATGGCAACAGACCAGACGTCACAATCTGGGCATGTGTGTTCCATTTTTGTCTTTCTTATTTTTCAGACTGCAAGACCTGGATATAGTTCTGTCGGGAAAATAATATAATTGTTCTTTTTTTTTTGTTATTTTTAACCTGGAGAAAAATAACTGTTTTGACTGTAGGAGATAAAAAAAAAAAAAAATTACAGAGCGAGTTCCTTTTGGGTGAAGACAGAGAGTGCGCTGCGGCGTCTGGAGGGTTAACTTTCAGTATTCCCAGCCTAAAAGGGGTTTAGGGGGCTATGAGATAAAGATGCCGGGGTCGCTGAGTAATGAAGACGAGGGACAGGACGACATGGATTTTGAAGACGATATGCCAGGTGAGGGAAGGAGGGGAGGCGGGGTGTCTTTCACATTATTTTTGCGCCGCTACGCCTTGAATGCGGGGAAAAGGGCTTGTCCTGCGATTCTGAGAGCAGAGAGGAGGGGGAGCTGCAATAAGCAGAGTCATTCCTCTGTTCCCGACCTACTCTGTTCAAGGTGCTGATCTTGGATTTGCCTCCAACTGTCCTCAAACATCCAGCTTGATTTTGGGGGCATCAAGGAAACCCATCTGCGTGTTTTTTTCCTTTTTTTTTGTTTTTTTCTTTTTTTGGGCTCTTGTATCTTTCACAGACTGAATGCATCCAAAAGTAAAATGCTTATTGCTCCATCAAATTAGAAAAACATAAATTATGTCCTGGAAGGGGGTTTATTGTCTTTATAGCGTCTAATGCATATATGCTGTGAAAGATGTGTGCTTTCTGCATGGATGTCATTTGGGTTAAAGATGAGCTGCCGACTATGATCCAACTTTATTTATTTCAGTTCTGCATGACCGCAGAGGTGTGAAAGCCACGTGTGGGCTACAATAAACAGTGTGCTCTGTTATGCGCTCATGACAGTGTCAGCAGCACAGGAAGCTTTGGGTCGTGCATTAACCCAAATTACCTCCAACCTAAATTTTTAAGCTGCAGCTCTGGTCGCATCAAAGCTGCGTGCAATTCAGATTTCTGCTGGATTTTTCAGTTTTTACCTAATTTAATCCCCACTGGGTTATATAGTGATGATGGCATTTGTTTTTGTTTTTTTGGATATATATATATATGTATATATTTTTCAGAATTTCAAACCCCAAAGAAGTTGTTTTTTTTTTGTTCAGTTTTAACTGATTTAATTAGTGTTTTTATTTTTTATTTATTTTTTTTAAGACTGATTTTACTTATATGCCTACATACAGAGGTTAACAGATGTAAAATTCTCTTAATTTTCCATTAAATGCATCATGGAGTCTGTATAATAGCAATTTATTAAAAATCATGGAGTAACAAGTTTTCTCCTGGCTATATGTAACACTGTGCTGCCCCTCACTCCTTTGTTGCCATGCACTTCCAGGCAGCTCATTGTAAGACAACCATTGCTTTCACTCAAAAACAAAAAAACAAAAAACATTTTGGTTCCTTGAAAAGAAAAATATATTTTATTTTTGATGCTTGGGGTGGAAAAAAAAGTGGATATTATGGTGCAGAAAAGAAGCTGTTAAAATCAAATAACAGTTATGAAAGATTAATGTTATGCCCACCTTAATGTTTTTGGCAGTGGTTAGCAGTTTGTGAGTTTTGTGTTACTTTTTTTAGTTAAACATTTAATTTTTTTGTATCATGAAATTATGGTATTTATTAAAAGTCGTCAGACAACAGGTATCTCATACATGCTCCTTGTAGCTTTAGTCCGGCTGGTCAACATGCATCTTGTACCTTATTTCAATTACTGCTGTTTCCTGCTTTGTTGTTTATTGATTAAGGTGGATGATCTGTAATGACCTGGTTCAGAACATCGTAGAACAGCCATATTTCAACATGTATCCCTTTTATTTCAGTTAGATTTACCACCATGTTTTGGAATGGTCCATGTGTCAATTTCTTTCCTTTATAAGGATAATAGATTAGACAGTTTTCTTTGGAAATTGAACGTTCATAAAATTGTTTTACAATCTAATTATGTGCTAAAACTCCAAAGCTCTATCTCTGAACTTTCTATTGTGTCCAGTGGTATCAATGCTGCTCTTCACTGATATTCTCTAACTATCCTCTGGTGCCTTTGCAGGATAGTTTGGTATATATATATATATATATATATATATATATATATATATATATATATATATATATATATATATATATATAAAAAGATTAACTTGCACATAGGTAACAGTTACTAAGCTAAGGACAAGCAATTGAGATGAATTTGCTTAAAAGACCGGCTATAGAGTCTGCTTTAGCGATTTTTTGGAATCGGAACATCTCCCCATTGATTGTTTTCACAGACATTTCCATTGGTAACAGACTCTGGGGTGGACCCAGAACACACATTTCCTCTCTAGAACACCTTGATATCTCCCAATATGAGGACGGAAAGATTTTAGTTCTACTTCCTGAGCTGTTCTCCTGCAAATTGATCATGGAGAAGCAACATTTGGTTTGAAAATAAAGCAAACTGCCTGTCAAATATTAAAAGCAGGCATCTATTTAGGGATCTTTTTGTAAAAAGACAAAATGCTAATGGAAAGAGGAAATATAACGGATCACTTGTGAATTGCAGGCACACCTTGATAGGGAACACTTTAACCAATTAACCCAATTGTTTATGAAACATGCATTTATAAATAAATATGCAATTTCCTATTGCAGAGCAGATTACATCCAAATAAAAATGCATTTTAAAAAAGAATAACCTTTTTTGTGCATTAGGTCAAAGCTTTCAATCTTGGCGTTTTTAAAATGTTATTTTGTTTGTAATTTGTAACAGCACTGAAACTCAGTACATACTGCATAGACCGAAGTATATAATGCAGGTCATTTGACAGAGTGATTCATAATGTTTGTACTGCCATACAATCCTTCTGTTTTTTTATCCAGAAAGTTTCTTTTTTTTTATTTTTAGCTTTTTCCATTATACATTAGTGACTTTGATGTGACATATATACTGTTAAAAAATGTTATTCTGTTAACTTTGGTCAACAAGCACTACGATTACAGCCCTGGTCATAAATTTACCCCCTCTGTTCAGAGACCTATTTGCAATTAAAACCCAGTAGTTTGGAAATGCGTCTTCGTACCCTTAAACACTATCCTATCAAGCCCTTCATCACACTTCTTGGATTGGCCCGAGTGCCTTTGTGTTGCTGAAGACCCTTGTACTTTCACAGTGCACGCTGCTTTGTTATGTTTTCTGCCTTAATTGCTTTGTTCTTTCCTAAAATTAAAAGATTATCATGGGCTTTTGTGTGCCTGCAAATGTAATCCTCAGTTGGATATGCTTCTATTTTTGGATCGCTCACTGTGAAAGTTGACACAATTTTCTTTTCATACTGTGCATGCACATAGCCTGGACATAAAAGAATAATTTTGGGGGGGTGGGCTATGCGCATTTTGCAGCTTAGCAGTATAAAATCTCAATACTGTTTTATTTTTTCTGCTCCTTAGAGGACTTGAATTTAGATCATATGGCGTATTTTTGCCTTCATCTGTTAGTTTTTTGCATGAGCAAGTATGTATCTGTATATGAAGCCATTTATAAGGAAAATTCTCTTTACTTTCCATCTTTTCGGGGAGAAGCAATGCTTGGCTGCATACATTGCAGTAGTTTTTTGTGCATAGGAGCTAACAGAAAACAAACTGAAGTTGCTTCCAGTTCACCTGAGGTTCTTCATTTGGGAATTGTGTGTAACCTCTCTCTAAATGGATCAGTGTACAGAACAAGTCATTGGAGGAAGGTCAGAAGTGTTTCTGTCATCCATTTAAACCTTTACAGACAAGTGGTTTGGCAAGTAGACCATTGCTCATCTTCCTTACTGAAACTGATGCCAGATTTCATTTAGGCGTATGACTGAGCAAACTCCTTTTCTTCCAGCTCCATTTAAAGCCCAGTACATCCACCAAACAGAACATCTTTATGGTCACAGCTTTCCTTTTGGGGGCCTCACAGACTTATATAAACTCATCTGACATTTTATTAGGTGCATGTGTACAG